CATGCTGACTGCAGTGGGGTTTGAACCTGTGACCCCCTGATCCGAACACCTACGCACAACCCACTGCACCACACGCCTCCTCCTAAATGATTGTGTTAACTCACTAAACCTTCATAGCTGCTGAACAGACAATGTATTAATAAGTCAATGAACTAAGCAGCAATTATCTTTTTCATTCAATTTGCAAAACAAATCACATAATAGTGAGCTGAAACCCTAAACCTGGTTCGAGGCAGTTTTAGAGCAAGCAAGCATAGCAGGTTAATCCAACCATGATACTTCAGGTCAAACTAGGACACAGTTTAAACAGTGATAGTGCCTACACACTTTACTCGGATAACCTCGAACAATCTGGATGTGGAGCTTGTCTGTTTGTGTGACATTACCTTTTTCACAATACAGCAAAGTCTCTCTCGTTGTGAACCGTGGGGTCCGGTCTCCTCCTGTTCAGATCTTTTCTTGGAGTTGATGCATAAACCAAATTCCTTCAAGAGTTTCAAATGAAAGCGGTCACACTTACAGGAGATTACTCATTACTGTACTGTAAAATCAAGGAAGTAATAATAATAATAAAAGAAACTCCCATTAACTTGAAATATAACTTCCCGTTTCATTTCACCTTTTGCTCTTCTAATTTCTCTTTGGCTCAAATATACGTTTATTTGTACTGTAGACTTTACAATTTATCAGTGTTTTTAAGCTACACACATTGTGCCCCAAAACAATGATAACAAATCATAGAGGTATATATATGAATATAATTAGGTTCTTACCGGTAAAGACTTTCCCTTTCCCCGCATGTTCAGCTTAAACATCACCTTGAAGACATGGAGCGCCTCTTTCTCCTGGCCAGCCTGGAAAAGACAAAACAAAAATCTAAATGTCTGCTGGGGATAAAAAAAAGCAGGCTGCAATCATGATATCTAATCTGGCATTTAAATACCTCCATGAGGAACTTGGGGCTTTCAGGCATGAGCAGCCTGAACATCAGGGCTGATGTGAGGCTGGGAACAGAGCAGAGAACCACAAACAGTCTCCAGCTCTGGAAGTCCAGAAACCCCAGAGAGAAATGAGCCCAGGTTCTTGGGATCACTAACCAGGCCAGACCTGCAGGTACAAGATGAGGAACTATTGAACACACAGGTCTACACTTTTTATTATTTAGATACTGTCGCCCCAAAGGGAATAAGTCTTTACCTTTTTGAAGTAGGTATATAAAATGTGTAATTTGCTTAGCACTTAGTTTTCTCATAACACCAGCGTTGGTAGCAATGAGCCTTGATAATGTTTTATTTATGAGTTTTCCCACCTGCAGCCAGGATGTTTCCTGCCATCCAAAAGGTGGCCAGAGCGCTGATCATCGCACCTCTCCTCCGTCTGGGCATGAACTCAGAGAAGTAGGAGAAGATGACAGGGATGGACCCGCCGACACTGCAGAAGGGAAGGAAAACAGAATTCATTTTAGTGACTGTTTATTCATGCTACACTGGCAAAATGAGGGCACAACTAAGGTAATATAAATATTGTGTGTAATGTTGTACCTAAAGGAACATGAAGGTGTTATAGGGATACAAACTATGACCCCGGTGGCTGCAGTATGTTCTCTCTGAGCACTGAAACATACTTCATTGCGTGTGTTACCGTCAGCTATATAACTCCAGGAGACACAATACAAAACATATGCAAATCCCGTGCTCACCCGATGCCGCTGATGAACCGCAGCAGCAGGAAGAGCCAGAACCAGGGGGCCACGCTGGCCAGACCTCCAAACACCCCGTTCACTGTGAGGGACACAACCAGGACCCGGCGCCGCCCCCTCTGGTCAGCCAGGTACCCCCACATGTAGCCCCCCACCATCATTCCTAGAAAACAAAAATGTTATACCAACATTAGCATTTAGCTCTTAGCATTGCTGTGAATATGTACAACCTGTATTGATGTATTGTGATTGTAAGGGTGTCCATTATCATCTGGCCGGGGACAACAGCTGGAAATTAGCAATGTTTGCTAAAGCTGCCCCATTTATTGTTTTTTGTGACAGTTGATCAATGGGGACTGTCCACGACACCATAAACAAATAAACTAAACTAAACTAAATAACCTCACAGAGCCAATAGTTAGCATGTAGACTATTAGTTTTAATTTCCTCTAGAATTGATTTTACAACTACATTCAGTCGTTTAGGCTCAGTTATTTTTCTATTTTTACATTTTCACGGCATCATAATTTTATGTGTTGTGCGTTTTTCTGTAATTGTTTATTTTTTTCACCTCACCACAAAATAAGTATTTAATAAGTATAGACCAATAACCCAAAACCTACATTTGTTTTTTTACATCTAGTCTTAGCCCATTTATTTTCTTTCTCTTCGTGTGAGGCGTGTGGCGCAGTGGGTTGTGCGTAGGTGTTCGGATCAGGGGGTCAGAGGTTCAAACCCCACTGCAGTCAGCATGTCGTTGTGTCCCTGGGCAAGACACTTGACCCCAAACTGCTCCTGTGGGGATTGTCCACAGTATTGAGTATGTAAGTCGCTTTGGATAAAAGCGTCTAACAAGTAACATGTAATAATAATAATTAAAGTCTTTCATACATTTGTAACACTGCTATGACAAATACGTTTACTTTAATTTATTGTGAATAATTGAAAAGGTTGTTTTTCCTGATTGTTTAAAACTTGTTGAGCAGCAAAGTCTCATTTGAGGATCTGATACCGGAGAATATTTGCTCAGTCATGATAACATATTTATTAAATGATTGTTATTCACCGAGGAAGATGCTGGCAGTGAGCAGGCCCATGTCTGAGGAGCTGAGCAGCAGATCGCAGCGCGCCGTCGGCAGGAGGAAAGACACACAGAGGATCTCCACGGCATCGCTGGCATTGGCCCAACCACATACCACCAACAGCATCCAGTGGAACAACCCAAACCCTGAGAGCAAAAGCAGAACAAGGAGTGAATCAACAAAGAGAAACGTTATCAGTTAACGCACCATATTAACGGTAATGCTGTCTGCAGCTGCTGCTTTGTCCATTACCGTCAACACACACCTCAGTATCACACGTATGGTTTAGTGATGCTGTAAAAATCTATTGAGTCAGAAACTGTTAAGAAATATTATTATTTATTGTTTTGCCGTCCTTTTTTAGATTGTGTATGATGCATTTTCCATCTTATAATCATGTAATCCTCCTATTTCAACCTATATAAAGGATCAAAAAGGTATTTACCAGTTGATATTATGATGTCATTACCTGCTTCCTCTACTGCTTCCTCATATGTTAATCTTCTCTGTGGCCTCTCACCAGCGTCACGTGGGAGGTTTGATGAACTCCTGTCGAAAATGATTTCACCTAAAATAAAATCAGCAAAAAACACAAACAGTGAAGTGAAACAAAGGTGTCAGCTTAAACAGATATTTAAGAGGTCATGAGAGCTTTAGCCCCCCATTTTGTTGGTGCTAACATTTGTATTAATGATGTGTCTTATATTATATAAAGGGAGACTGTTGCAACACTTTGTGCATTTCTCTCGCTTACTCAGAGACTATTTGGTCAGGACTAAACTAGTATTTATACATTAAACTTAAATATGTTATAGAATAAGTCAGATTTTGCAACTGACCCCAACCCTGGGTACAGTTACAATATGTTTACAAAAGCTTGTGGTCTGTTATGATATGCAGCAAGTTGCAACATGTTTTGTTCAACTCAATAAATGTGTGTTGTTTTTTGGTGGAAGTAGGATCTAACGGAGCATCTAAACTACAGTATGAGTATCGTTAACATGTTTCTGATGGAAGAATAAGACTTGTTGCAACTGTCCCCAGTCTCCCCAATATCATATTGTATGTTTATTGGGACTCTGGTAGCCTTTTGATTTTGAATAGAGATAGTGACTTTATGTTTGTTATTTAAGACCAGAGGTGAGAGAAGTACCTATATGTTGTACTTAAGTACAAGTAGAAGTGCAAGAGTGTAGGAACAAGTGAAAGTCCGGCAATCAAAATGTTCCTCAAGTAAAAGTACAAAAGTGTTAGCGTCAACATATACTTAAAGAACCAAAATTAAAACTATTCATTATGCAGAATGGCTCATTTCAGAATAATATATTATTATGTTTCGATTATAATTATTGATGCATTATTACAGTCTTATTAAAGCTGGTTGTACTCAAGGTGTAACTAAAAAAACAAGTTATTAAATAAATATAGTGGGGTAAAAGTACACAATTTAGTTCAAAGTAACAACAAATTTAAATACTCAAGTAAAGTCCCTCAGCATTGTACTTAGGTACAGTACTTAACCTACAGTAAATACTTAGTTACTTAACACCTCTGTTTAAGATATATTATTCTAATAATATAGTTTGTATATATTTTCACTTGCATATGGTATAGTGGTGGGTAGTTTAATCTACACAGCAATGCATACTAATCTATAGGATAATCACATGTTTGAAGCTTTGTCGCAGTCCTTTGTCGGAGTCCTGTGAGAACCACAGGACTACTTTCTAAAGAGTAAACTCTAAATGTGAAAACAAGTGCTATCTGGTTTTTGATCATGCATTTCTAGCTGATCTAAAACACTCCTGAAACAGTGTATTTAGCAGGTGAAATAACACAATACAGAAAGTCACCCTTCATATTGGGTGCAAAAACAACCTGTACCTTCATCGGATTCCAGCTCATTTGGCTTCAGGTGTTCCCTGGTGAGAAGCGGCTCCCTCGCCTCCACGTCGTGACGAGGCATCACCCCCAAAACACTCAGACGTCCCCAATATGATCTTTGAGCACCTGCGATATCAACTCCTGCCCAGGTCCATGATGCTGTGTACACCGCTACTGCATCTGTCTCATGACTGCCAAGCCTCTCAGTGAAGCTAACTGTGGAGCTAACCTGACCAGAAGAGGAGGACCAGGAAGTAAAACAGAGAGCGGACAGCGGAGGTCTGCACGTCGTGAAGCCGCCCTCCAATCACTCCTCCTCCACTGCTTTGAGTTGTACTGTCTTCAGGAGAACTGCCACAGTTTTAGCTGTAGCAGCGGAGTTAACGCTAGCCGCTAAAAGGAGCAGAAGAAGGGGATCTGTGGACGGACCTCCCCTTGTGTTTGTTTTAAGAAGATTTGAAGATGGCGACCAGCTCGGAGCGTAGTCCTCCTCCGTTTCCCGACTCCGAGGACCAAGATGTGCTGGACACCGAAGAAGTTGGAGGCCGAGACAGTCACAGTGATGAAGACGACGGGGACGATCTCTTCATGAGCACAGTATGTCTGCTTGATTTTAAGCTAAGCTAATCTGATGTGGCTAACAACTGACGTTAACTGCCATAAGAATAGTTAGCTTTAATTGCCAATAACTGCCATAAGAATAGCACGCTTTTACTGACATGCACTGCCATAAGAATAGTTAGGTTTTACTGACATCTACTGCCTTAAGAATAGTTAGCTTTTACTGTCATTTACTGCCAAAATAATGGTGAGCTAACGTCAGCAAATACGGCTAATAAGGCGCTTCTAGCAAAAGTTTTGTTAGGTGAAGACAAACATTGAGCTTGTTTTTAGCATTGGGGAAACGGTAATCAAATCATGTTAACATTAGTAACTGTTGTGTCGTACAATTGTAGACCTACAGCCTTTACGTTAATTATCAAAGGAGTGTTTCGAGAGGAGGCAGAAAAATCCACCTTCCATCACAATTTCTGACTTTTTAAAACAGCCTGTGCTGATCTTTGACACTGTTTCAAACGCCCATTTTGGTATTGATTTATTCCTGAAAGTTGCAATGTGGAGGACTGGCTGGCTGAGATTTTAATGAGGTCAATTGGGTAACCAGATGACACAAATTAAAGCCTGTGTTCCTAGTTTTCTGTGCAGCAATCGGCCATACTTCCGGTTAATTTACACTGAAATCTGAAGGTAGGCTATCATCTTAAACATTTTGTATGTGCATACTTTAAGGCCATGCATAGGTAAACAAGAAGCAGTTAAATTGGAGCAGTCTGCAGGAAATGAGGTCTGTGTGGTTTGTGAACGTCCTCATTTTTTGTTGTTATTCAAATGAATACATTTTAAAATTCACTCTCCCTTTTTTGGGGGTTTTGAATGAGGTTAAAAAGCTGGCCTGAGCAGCCTCCTGTCATGTGAGTGAGCTGTGGTCACATGGTCAGAACCCGGATGTTTTCCTACAGTCAAAGTTCAGAGAGGAGATTGGAAAGTTGCTGTCTTTGATTTTTTTTTTCTCCCCTTTTTTTCCTGCTGGATTCACTGCTGCATGGAAAAGCTTACTCAGCAAATTGTGGATGTTGTGTTTAACATAGGCTATTTCCGCCAATGCAATAAAAGAAAGATCCTGGAAGTTAGGTTTTTGCAGGACTGTTGTATAAGGCGTACCCAATAATCCAAAAACTGACTTTATTTTCTTTATGAGCAATAATTAGCTTGAATCATGATTCGATAACTCAGTACTACATTGCTTTCTCCCATTATAAAGTCATTCTTTTTTTATTTCAAGGGAATATTCGCATTATTCGTTACACACCCTGTAGCCTTAAATTAAATGTATTTGTTTTCTTTGTGCATTCTTCACAATAAGTGGTGCTACCTGGAGGCTCAGCTTAGAATTATGTGGAACATAACATGCAAATGAGTTGTAAAGCATCTGGCTTTCACTCATAAATCTAATGTGACAACAAACAGGAAGTCACATTTATCACTTTCTCTGCCTACTGAAAATCAAACAAATACCTTAAAAACCTGTTTAATTCAGCAAAAAAAAGTTTTGTTTTATTTAACGTTGATACGTTTGTGGAAGTTTTTGTCGGTGCAATATCCTAGTGAAAACCCATTTTAACTTGATACAGAGACCTCTATAATGCTGGAGGGACAGTTTCTATGAATGTTTATAGACATTTTATGATATGAGGAAACTGTATTCCTTCCACTACCCTTATGACAGTCATGGAAAACATATTAAACTGAGCGAGGAAAAAGGATTATAAAGTTAATCTTTTACACGATTGACAGATTTTCTACTTCGTTCTGTTTAGTGTTTATTGCATTTATTTGGGGTTTGGACTTTTTGTCATACAAACAAACAATTAGAAGACATGGAAGACCCCTTAGCCGGCAAATAAACGAAGCAGGGACCCCCTGCTTCATATGTATACAAATGAATTGCACATGACATGTTGGCCTTAAGTGCCATGTATAAACATACCTTTTAATGGTGCATGCAAAATGAAGCTACTAAATTAAAACATTTAAAAGAAAAACAACTTTTGAAACATTATCAAATTGTTTTGGCAGCCCCTCTACTGTAACTCTGATCGTATTTGGGGCGCGTTCCTCGTTTAAAAGACCCACTCTCTAAAATTTGAAATCTTTTCCCCCTTTTTCATTCTCTCCAGAGCAACCCTCCACTGACTGGAATGGACAGCATACTGTCTCCTACCATTGAACCCAGTAATGTTTTAATGAAACCTCCCGTTGACCTCATGGATGACCCCTTATTCGAGCCCGTCAGCATCCAAACAGCAAACACACCATCCAGCAAAGTCATGAGCGAACCCTCAGATGATTTTGTCGACCTAACTAACAACATCACCGACTCTCCGGATGAAGAAGACACAGCTGAGAGTCCAGTTGCAGATGCAGAAGAGGAAAAAACTGAAATCCCTTTAGACGAGCCCGCAGAGGAATTTGAAGACATATTTGGAAGTGAAACCGAAGCCCCGCAAGAGGAAGTAGTAGAAGCAGATGTTACTGTTGAAGAAACGCCAACGGATAAGGTTGAAGAGGCCAGTAGTGTTCCAGTTCCACCTGTTGACGGGAAAACAGGAAGTGATGAGGAAGAGGAAGCAATAGAAACTTCCACTGATCCTATTATCGACCTCGGTGCTGATTTGCCAGCCGTTGAAACAGAACAGCCGCCACCTGCCAGCCAAGCATTTGTTGACCCTTTGGAAGACCTTCTCGGTGATGTTTCGCCCGCCGCAGAAACACAACAGCCACCGCCTGCCAGCGTCACATTTGCTGACCCTTTGGTTGATGTCATCATTGATGATTCCCCAGCTGCTGAAACACAAGAACCACCGCGTGCCAGCGAAGCGTTCTTTGACCCTTTGGAAGACCTTTTCGGCGCTGTTTCGCCAGCCACTGAAACACAACAGCCGCCGCCTGCCAGCAACACATTCGTTGACCCTTTGGATGACCTCCTCAGTGACGATTCGCCAACCAGTGAAACACAACAGCCACCGCCTGCCAGCAAAACGTTCAGTGACCCCTTGGTTGACCTCCTTAGTGCTGCTGCATCTGCTGCCGAAGCCAAAATAGCCACACCGGCAACAGTCGATCTTTTCGAAGACGAGGGGAGCGACTTTTTCACAGAAGCACGGCAGACCAAACCTGCCAAGCAGCAGAAGAGCCTCTTCGGAGAAGCGGACGAGGATCTGTTCGGTGAGCCGCTGGGTGCCACCTCAAAGAAAGCTGTGAGCACGGAGCCGAAGGACAAACCCGTCAAAACCAAAGCTGCTTCCACTGATGTTAGCAACATGGGGGGGCCTCTGCAGGACAGTACTCCTGCAGAACCTGCTGATCTCTTCAGTGAGGAAGCCATCACCACCGTGCCCATTGTCAAAAACACCAGCGCCGCCAGCTCCAAGACCAATGGAGTCCACTCTGAAGAGGAGATGGATATATTTGCAGGTGGGTCCACTATGTTTGGTTTTATGGAACATTATCTGGATGTAGTGTTCACAAAGAATAATTCATTCAGAATCTCCACATTTAACCCCCTTTTTTTCCCCGGAAATATAAGAACTGTTCAATTCAAATTTGCACATAACTGCACTCCAGAATCAAAATACTTATATAAGCGATTTACTGCATATAAAAACATAACCAGAACTACATTTTGAAAACACCAGATGTCATATAATGTCCTTTCAGTCTTTATTTTTTGGAGGTATGTTTGTCGTTATTGGATTAGCGGACGGTAGAAAGCTTACAGGAAATGAAGGGAGACAGACGGAGGATGACACGCAACAAAGGTTCACGGAAAGATTCAAAGCAGGGATTCATTTCATGGTTGATTTATAAAACACACGTCAGCCCATTTAAAGAACACTCCACAGACTCAGCATTGTAATGCTATTCATTATCACATTGACGGTTCAAATAAACACAAAGGATTCAAATCAGTGCAGCAGAACCAGAGATATGGCTTTATCAAAGCACTGACTCAAGTAACATTATTTTAGGCGATTAATCAACTCTTATTGTATGGAGTAGTACTCCGATTTCAGTACAAATGTGGGAGTTGCCCTTTAACTGACCAATAAATAAGACACTTGTGACTTCAGTTTACAACACGAGTGCACATGTGATTGGTTTGTAATAAACTAGAGGCAAAAAGGGCAAACTGTATGAGTGAATGTCGGTATTAGATGTGTTTTTTAAGCACAATTTAGCTTCAGGCAGCCTTAGAAGTGAAGAAAATAATATATATTTCTCTACATATATGAGGGAGGCTGTGTGATAGTGTGCTGGACTTTGAATCAGGGGATTGCAAGTTCGAGTCACACTGCAGTCAGCATGTCGTTGTGTCCCTGGGCAAGACACCTCACCTCAAATTGCTCCTGTGGGGATTGTCCACAGTACTGAATGTATGTAAGTCGCTTTGGATAAAAGCGTCTAACAAATGACATGTAATGTAATGTAATATCTCCCTTGTATATTATATTATTATTATTACATGTTACTTGTTAGACGCTTTTATCCAAAGTGACTTACATACTCAATACTGTGGACAATCCCCACAGGAGCAATTTGGGGTGAAGTGTAGTGCAGTGGGGGTTGAACCTGTGACCCCCTGATCCGAACACCAACGCACTACTCCACTGCGCCACACGCCTCCTATGCCTCCTTGTACATGTAATAACGAAAGGCTGGTTTCTTTTCTGTTTCTTCCCTCGCTGACAGAAGCCACAGTGGAGCTTTCCCTCGACAGTCCGCGGGAAGAGAGAAAGAAAGATGTGACAGTCGCACCGTCTACGTCCGCCGCCCCCCCCCTGTCAGCTGCTGCCAGCCTGGTGAAGCCACAAGCTGCTGCCCTGGAGGAGGTACACACACACACACACACACACATATGATCTCAGAATGAAAATCCCAATAGACTGCAACAAAGTAATGACTTAAAAAAACTGTTTAAGGAATTGCTAATTAAAGTTTTCTCGAAGGTCTTATGAGAAGCTCAGTTGGTTGTTTAATTTGCATTTTCTGACTGGTTTAGCACCTGAGCCAATGTTTCAAAATGAACTTCAATATAAATGTTTGGTGACAGTAGATCATTGCCAATGTCAGTGTTTAACTATATGTTCAATATTTGTTTCAGTTGGAAGAAGAGGAAGAAGAAGAACAGGAAGACAAATTTGAGATCTTGGTGTCTGTTAAAGATCCTGAAAAAGTTGGTAAGGATGTTTAGGATCTGTTTTATTATTTATTGAATTGCAATAAGGCTTGTAATTAGTTTGTGGACTGTAAGCGTTAAGCAAGCAACATTTTTATCTGAGGTGCTTAGTCATGTGAATAAGACAAAGGAACCAAAAAGAGGGGCTCAAGTATCCATTCAGCTTGACTTGACTAATATTCTAATAATCAATTTGTCTCTTTATTTTTGACTGACTTTTATCCCTTTTTTTTAACAGGTGATGGAATGAACGCTTACATGGGCTACAAAGTAACCACACAGGTAAACACTTATATCGATATACAGCTTTTCACATGACATAAAGTGTGTCATCTTAAATCCAGAGGACGTTAGCAGTTACTCATCAGATGTGTGGCAACAGGAAGTGCTGGTCAGCGTTTTTCAGGAGTAACGGCCATGCACTGTTCTTGAATGGCAGACAAGGATTACATCACCAGGGGGTCCGCGGGGTCTTTAAAAGTTGATCAATCAATTTAGCAAAAATTAAGGCTATTAAAAAGTATTAAATGGCATTTTCCAAGGTATTACATTTTGTAGCTTGTTTCCAATAAGTATATAAACTGTCCAAAGAGGTTGTATTCTACAGTCTGCCTGAATGTAATCATTGCGTAGGTGTGTAGTGTGATTCTGTGCAGTTTATTTATGGCATCCCGTTGGATTTGACGTCATCTGAACAGGACATCGCACGCTCACTGCTTGATAGCGCGCGAAGGTCCGTTTACCCCGGTTGTTAAACATCGTTATGGGGAAATGCAAGTTTGCGTCCAAATGGTTGGAAGATAAGGAGGAAGGACAATCAATACTGTATATAGTCAATGTGAGGTAAAGTGTGTCGCCAATGTAACCGGTTAAAACTCCAAGTGGCGATGAGGTCTTAAAATGTATGGAAAGGGTCTTAAAAAAGGTCTTAAAAGGTCTTACATTTGACTTCAGGATTCCTGCATATACCCTGAGTAGTAATCAACCAAATTAAAGTGTTTTAGGAACGTCACATACGATTTTAAATAATATGAAAACATGTTTCAGACCCAAATGCCGATGTTCCGCAACAAGACGTTCACCGTGAGGCGACGCTTCAGCGACTTCCTCGGCCTCTACGAGAAGCTTTCTGAAAAACATGGACCAAATGGATTCATCGTGCCTCCGCCTCCAGAGAAGAGCATCCTGGGTAGGCTGACTTGGCTTTGCTGTTTCCTCTTAATAGCGTAACTGTGAATATACTTTCCAGCAGCTATAAGAAGGGATGTTCTCTTCCAGGAATGACAAAGGTGAAGGTGGGAAAGGATGATTCTTCCGCAGCAGACTTTGTGGAGAGAAGAAGAGCTGCTCTGGAGAGGTAAGACGGGAAGAATGAAAATAAATTGTGTTACCAAGCTGTAAGTAGTCCCGCCCTTCTGTTCATTAAATCTTTATTAAACAGTGAAGCTGTTATGCTCACAAAAAGCATGAAAGTGAGTTTTAATTCCATTTTTCCTCTTCACCAGGTACCTCCAGAGGGTGGTAAATCACCCGTCACTCCTCCAGGATCCTGATGTCAGAGAGTTTCTGGAGAGAGATGAGGTAAAGACGCATTTGGGGATTCTCTGGGGCTTTTTATAAGACAAACATAAACCTGTCTGTGCTTAACTTTTGCACATAATAACTTTCCGATTCAACAATCTATACAGCATCGAGGGATGTGTTATACATCTTAATCCCTTTTTGTTTATCTGAAGTTTTATTACGTTTTAAATATTTAATAACTGTGTGTCTGTGTCTCCAGTTGCCCAGAGCAACGAGCACCCAGGCTCTGAGTGGCGCCGGCTTCCTGAAAATGATCAACAAAGCAACAGATGCTGTCAGTAAAATGACCATCAAGATGAATGAGTCAGACGTGGTGAGTCCAGATGTAAACAGACACTCCCGCTGCATCAGGGCTTCTTCACAATCCAAACTGTTTTGAACAGCAGATTTGTATTTTCCAGTAAAAAGCAGAACATTTCCAGCTCCCAGTTAAAGTCTGATGGCACAGGGCCAACAGACTAGGGAGTTTGCAAAGTGGCTTGACATGAGTCTGTTTGCTTGTTTGAGTTTCATAATTCAACCTGAATGTATTCTGAGGTGAAGGGAAACATGTCTTCATTGGGTTTTTATTGCTCTTAAATGATCAGAAACATGATTTTCTAACTGATCTGGTGCTATTGATTCACTTTATTTGTGTCCAGTGTGTTTGCTTAAGTGCAAGATAACAGTTTTAACTATTTAACAGTTCACTATTGCTGTCAGCACAGTCACGCTGATTAGCAATCAGTTTGTCTATAAAGAAACTGAGCTGTGACACGGATTTCCTCTTGATCTGAGCTCAAAGTACCACGCATGCAAAAGCTTTCCAGTTTGTATTTAAACTAAATACTTTTCCATGAAAGCACTAAATAGTCGTCGTATAAATACATGTAGGATCAGTGTTTATGAATCTAGAAAAGCAATGAAGTCGATTTGGATTTTAATATATCATTCGCTTACTTGTAATTATTTCTTAGTAACCATAAACGTTTGGGAAAATCTTGTAGTTAAATTCTCTGTAGTAAAATCTTGTAGTTAAATTCTCTGTAATTCTGTAGTAAAATCTTGTAGTTAAATTCTCGTACAAAGATGTGATTGAATAATTGTTCAAGTTGTTTGACTCGGTGTAACTTCACATGTTTAAGATTTTTAACATTTAAAAATGTACATGTTATTTCAATCATTAATCAATCCAAGTGTATTTGTATGACACCTTTCGTACAGGTATATGCAGTTCCAAATGCCTCACAGATGACAAGAAAGTGTAGACAGTGAAAACAACAGAAGTTGGAAGTTGGAAAAATGGATTTCACAGCTATAGTTACAGAAATAGTAATAAATGACGTGTTTTCCTGCAGTGGTTCGAGGAGAAGCTGCAGGAGGTGGAGTCTTCAGATCAGCACTTCAGGAAGCTCCACGCGCTGGTGGAGTCTCTGGTGGTCCACAGGAAAGGTCAGCCCCCTCCCCTCAAACACTGATTATTATAGGTCTGATTTTGAGGATAATGGTGGTGACAAGCAACAGCAACTTTGGGGAGATGACTTTGATCCAACCTCCTGAAGTGGTTCCTTGACAAAGAACGTTTTTCCAAGATCCTATCCCTTTATTCTTGGAGTATTCTCAGTATTTGTTCTCATAGATGTGTGCCGTTTTGTTTTTGTTAATGTACCAGTTTAAGAAAGTACTATTCTTTTTTTTTAACACTTTATTTATTGGTTTTTCCCACACATAACACCGAGTACAAATGCAGGTGGTATATAAAAAAAGGTGACAAAACAATAATGATAATAACATAAAAAGACCACTACAGTAATAGCAATGACAAAAATAAACCAAAATACACAATGACGTGATAAAACAGAAACAGAAAACCCCTAAGACCCTCCAGACAGGGCCTCAACTACTTGCCTCAGCAAATGCATGTGTATTTGTCATAGCACTTCTTCAGCCTACTATAGGTTGTTGGATGTTTTCTATATAATTCTTTAAATAAAAAAGAAAGTGGAGTATTGTCATTAAGTTTTTGAACTGTTCCCTCTCCAGAGCTGTCGTTGAACACGGCCGGCTTCGCTAAGAGCACGGCGATGCTGGGCAGCGCGGAGGACAACACGGCTCTGTCCCGCGCCCTCTCTCAGCTGGCCGAGGTGGAGGACAAGATGGAGCAGCTGCACCAGGACCAGGCCGCCAACGACACCTTCAGCTTCGCAGAGCTCATCGCAGACTACATCCGCCTGCTGGGAGCCGTCAGGGTACGGAGGAAACCTGTTCACTTCTACATGTCTTGACTCTTAATTATTTTCTCAAAAAGTTGAATTAAAATATAACCTACATTGTAACAGAATCACTTTGACTCCAAAGGTTAGGAGGTCACTTGAGGTGTATATAAATCAATTAGCAGACTGGATATGTAGATTTCAGACTACATAACATTGCGGTGCAGAATTGTACTTCTATACATTTAAGTGAAGACCTAAGGATTAAGCAAGACCCGAGCAGCTTCTTCCATCACTTGAATACATTTATTTCAAATCAAAATATAAGCAAAGGTTTACTTTGAAATCTGGTATAAATTCAAAAACTGGTTGGAATTCTTTAATTGCAAGCCCCACTACAGGTGAAACTGCAATTATTACTGATACAAGCACTTCTGAATAGTAGCCTTGCTTTAATGGCTTAAGCTTTTAGTGAAATATAAGTGTGTGTGTGTGTGTGTGTGTGTGTGTGTGTGTGTGTGTGTGTGTGTGTGTGTGTGTGTGTGTGTGTGTGTGTGTGTGTGTGTGTGTGTGTGTGTGTGTGTGTGTGTGTGTGTGTGTGTTGTGTGTGTGTGTGTGTGTGTGTGTGTGTGTGTGTTGTGTGTGTGTGTGTGGTGTGTGTGTGTGTGTGTGTGTGTGTGTGTGTGTGTGTGGTGTGTGTGTGTGTGTGTGTGTGTGGTGTGTGTGTGTGTGTGTTGTGTGTGTGTGTGTGTGTGTGTGTGTGTGTGTGTGTGTGTGTGTGTGTGTGTGTGTGTGTGTGTGTGTGTGTGTGTGTGTGTGTGTGTGTGTGTGTGTGTGTGTGTGTGTGTGTGTGTGTGTGTGTGTGTGTGTTGCAGGGGTCGTTTGATCACCGGATGAAGGCGTGGCAGCGCTGGCAGGACGCTCAGACCGCTCTGCAGAAGAAGAGAGAGACAGAGGCTAAGCTGCTGTGGGCGAACAAGCCCGACAAGCTGCAGCTGGCCAAAGAGGAGATCGCTGAGGTACGACATCCACAACGTGAACAACTCCAGATGAGACTGTGATGCCTGATAGTGCTGGAGATCAAAAAAAAATTCAAGATGGAGTACAATGTTAGAGTGATGAGAGCCTCATCAGAAACAGGAAGCACGGTGAAACAAAAGAGTCAAATTCGATTTTAATCATCTCTGTTTTTTGTATTAACCTCGTTATAGTCAGGACACAATATTTATTAGATATGTTAGTACTTACTTTATAATTAATATGCTTTATACTGTAATAAAATGTATATTAATCTCCTTCCTTTCCATTTGAATAACTAATGGATGGTATAGCGGCTTCATTGCAGAACTGTTTAATAGTTAGAAGTCATAAAAACATAGTCAGTCAATATTTGGGATGTCAATTAAAAATCTAAAATGAAGGAAATACTGAACACAACATGTAAAATATTTCATTACGTTTTATTTTCTAATATAAATAACTTTCTTAGGCAGAAATCTGAGATACTTTTAACTTGTCATTTCGAATTTTTAAACTCAATATTAATATACGATGACCATTTACTACTTTCAATACCTCCTTTCTTTAATACCATGGCATGATGGCGCCTCTTTACTGCGAGTCTTTGATCTTCTCCTCTGCTCCTCTCAGTGGGAGGCCAAGGTGACGCAGTACGAGAGGGACTTTGAAAGAGTTTCTGCTACCGTGCGCAAGGAAGTGGTGCGCTTTGAGGTACTGATGTTATCTGTGCTGCATTCAGGTACTGGACCTTTGGAAACATTATCGCTTACTGAGTTGTTTTTGTTTGATCCAACAGAAGGAGAAGGCCAAGAACTGTAAAAGAGAGATCATTAATTACCTGGAGTGTCTGTTGCAGTCTCAGCAACAGGTGAGTGTCCTTTAGTCAAACATGAGTATTTAACACGTTTATGTAAGGGATAATGTGCAGCGAGGCGGTCATTATGGGTAAAAGAACACCTCGCGGAGGGATCCTGATCTGCCTGAAGGGTGTTCTTTTCCCCATAATGACCAGTCGCTGCACATTATCCCGCTTATTACACGGCCACATTCTCAACAAAGTAACGACATGACTCCCAATATTAATTGAAATGCTTTTATGGATTTAGAAAATGTTTTTATTGATTTAAAAAATAGTAGGCTATTAGTTATTTAAAATGACATGCATCCGCTAAGAAAAATAGTCCGTTGTTACCGTTTGAACTACGTAGCAGGAGGAGGCGTGTGGCGCAGTGGGTAGAGCGTTGGTGTTCGGATCAGGGGAGCACAGGTTCAAACCCCACTGCAGTCAGCATGTCGTTGTGTCCCTGGGCAAGACACTTCACCCCAAATTGCTCCTGTGGTGATTGCCCACAGTATTAAGTCGCTTTGGATAAAAGCGACTTAGTAACATGTAACGTAGCAACAGAAGGAACTGCTTCGATGGCGTTTTTTTAGGAGCTTTTTAATTACAGATTTGAAAACATCGCTGCTTGCTTTAAAAGTAGCACAATTCATTATGTCAAACCTTGGGAAGTATCTAGATATCCCTGCCCTAATGCCAAAGTAACTGGTAACTGAATATGTGTCGCCGTTTGATGTCTATGTCTGGAACGTTGCGTAAAAAGGAGGGTTTCTGCCCCGTTACTTCTCCGCTGTTTTCTTGTCGCTCTTGTCTTGTCAGTTGCTTTTCAGCCAAACTGTAAACAGTTAAATCGAATGGACTTCTTTGTGCAGATGTGAGCGTCCTTAACAACGGTCAATAAATCCTTGACAGCGGTCTGTCTGTTCTGGATTAACAACGTGTCACGTGTTCTCAATTGACCAATCAGAATCGAGTATTCAACTAAGCCATGTAATAAAATCAAATATCCTTCTTGTCAAACCGGTCGGCGTACATTTATATAGAGTTTGATACTTTTCAAACTATGGGAGTCCTGTTTTTGGCTCGCTATGTTACAGAATATTTCTAATTTATGTTAAAATGATTTGTAGCTTATTCAGAAATACTTAAGGATAGACGTATGAAATATTTGTTACATGTCATAAAAGATTAAAGCTTTACGAATGAAATCATTTTATTATAAATTCATCTGTTGATGGGTTTATTTAAATAGATAGCCACAAATATTGAAAAACTGACCCTTTTCCAAAGTTTTAAGCACTAAGTTTTGTCCAAAATCCATGCATTTTTCAATTATGAGAAACTCAGGGGGAAAAAAAACTGTTAAAATAATAGGGTCTGGCAAAGTAAGGGCGCCTATCCCTTTAAAGAGAGGGAGAGAGGGAGGGTACGTTTGTAGCATGTATATGTGGAGAGCGAGAGCGAGTGAGTGTATGTCTGGAAGTGAATGGGACTATCTGCAGCTATAAATCTGTATAGAAAATTAGCTAACAATAAATCTAACGGCCTGCAAAGATAAAACTTGACTCTGCCTTATTGAGTGGGGTAACAAGTAACATTTCACAAAATGGCTCCTACAATATTTGTAATTTTTGCTTGACATAGTAAAAGTGATTTATAATTGGAAAATGTCCACCTGATGTAAATCCTATATATTACAGGGTGTCCGCGGGGTCTTAAAAAGAATTAAAAGTTGATAAATCAATTTAGCAAAAATTAAGGCTATTAAAAAGTAAGGGCATTTTCCAAGGTATTACATTTTGTAGCTTGTTTTCAATAAGTATATAAATTGTCCAAAGAGGTTGTATTCTACAGTCTGCCTGAATGTAATCATTGCGTAGGTGTGTAGTGTGATTCTGTGTAGTTTATTTATGGCATCCCGTTGGATTGGACGTCATCTGAACAGGACATCGCACGCTCACTGCTTGATAGCGCGCGAAGGTCCGTTTACGCCGGTTGTTAAACAACATCGTTATGGGGAAATGCAAGTCTGCGTCCAAATGGTTGGAAGATAAGGAGGAAGGACAATCAATACTGTATATAGTCAATGTGAGGTAAAGTGTGTCGCCAATGTAACCGGTTAGAACTCCAAGTGGCGATGAGGTCTTAAAATGTATGGAAAGGGTCTTAAAAAAGGTCTTAAAAGGTATTACATCTGACTTCAGGATTCCTGCATATACCCTGTATGTTATAACCCCTTCTCATGTGTTGAATAGGAAGGACCCTGACCCTGTCTCTCTTCTCTCTGCAGCTCATAAAGTACTGGGAGGCTTTCTTACCAGAAGCCAAAGCTATCGCCTAGCGCTGGAGCTCCTTCTCTCCAGGCGGCCTTCTTCTTATACACTTTACCTCTTGCCTTTAAACCAAGGAAAATGCTCGCATTGTAAAGGGAGATACAATCAACCAGTTTTTTTTAATCACCTTTAACATATAGCTCTGTACTCTATTGTATTAATAATTGTATATTTTCATTTAACCTTCCACAAATATTTTCTTATTAGATGAAAAAAGAGTTTGCATACAGTATACAAAGATTAAGGACACACGAGAAAGAGAAAGCAGGTGACTGATTCCATTAGTTTTCCACAAGAGAAGGGAAATGAGTCCGTTGTTCTCAGGATTTCTCCTCCATCAGCAGTGGGTCTTGTTTACAGCGCGGCTGCTCTCTCAGCACACTCTCTGGGGACCCAGGTGAAGAAAGTGGCCAAGAGTCTCACTCTGTTTCTGCTTTTAAACGACTCAAAGGGATACAAAAAAAAACAGCTAAAAAAAATTATGAATTCTGAGCACTTCCACCAGGTGGATAAAGTCATTAAATACCAGCCATGTTGTTGTTATTGTTTGTTTTTCTTTAAGATTTAAACTACTATGGGTGCAGGGTGTCGAGGCATTAGATTATTACCGCTGCGGTCGGGGGGGCATCGTAGGTCAAAGCTTGTGAGTTCACTTTTTGTAGATCTTGTTTCAATCAAACTTTACTCTTATAACCACACATGTCTGTGCCTTTTGAAGTCAGAGGGGTGTTTAGGGGTTTTACAAAAAATGGGAGAAACGTGTTCTCAGTTGTAGAGAACAGCCACAAAGTGTCAAACCAAACTGGCGTTTCATGTTAAAGCCCATTTACTACAAATTAAGTGTTTTTCCCACTATATTCTAGTTTATAACGCTACATTGTTTTCTTTGTGAATGTGTTACTTTCCAGACAGCCTTCTGTATGAAAACGAACTTGCACAGACTTGAAACGGGTAATCCTCACAGTGAGATTTATGAATGTTTCATCATTTTCCCGTGGTAATGCAGAACTGTACGTGCCAGTTTAAGGCTTCACTGATGACTAGTCATACAGTAAATGCTGCGTTTCCACTGTAAGGATCAGCCTGAAGAGCTTCAAGTCTCTGCAAGTGGATTCTCCTGCGTTAGTGACGTAAACCAAAGGCTGCCTGGATGTGAGGGTTCTGAGTCTTTCTTTGAGACGTGGTTGTCAGTAATACGAGGGCTGCAACTAACACTTATTTTCATTTTGTTTTTGTCTGAAAATTAAATGCTTAGTCTATAAAATGACTCAAAATAATGTAAAATGGTTCCCAGAGCCTAAGGTGTCATCATACAATGGTTTAATCTATACAGTTTTGTTTTAAAGGTACCCTGTGGAGTTTTGACCAGTAACAGCATTATGAAGACATTTTTGTACGTTTGTTCTCCACATGTTTTTGCTGGTTTTCTGCTGGTCGACAGCTTGTGGCAGCAATTAGCCAACAACGTCAAGGGCCGTTCCTCAATGTCGAGTATACCTGCTGCAGAGCCACTATTTCAAGTATACTACGTCATCGAGTGGCGCCGAATGCTGGGCATTTAACATGCATTTAAACAGTCCTTCGGCGCCACTCGATGACGTAGTATACTTGAAATAGTGGCTCTGCAGCAGGTATACTCGACATTGAGAAACGGCCACGGAGTAGGACCGCTAGCTAGTAAATGGATGGCTACAAATAAAACAAACAATTGTATATTTCATATTGTTTCACACAAAAGATGGCTCTGCAAGTGAATTCAACTCATCTGTGAGAGCGCTAAGAAGCACTTTGGTGAGAAACAGTGAATGTAAACAAAAATCCACAGGGTACCTTTTTGATTTACTCTAAACAGAGAAAGAGAAAGTGGAACCAGCGACAGGAGGGCATTTGTGCTTGATGCACTATTACTAATTAACATCTTTGTTGGTGAATACTTCTGTTGATTGTCTGATTGATTCAGCTCTAAATAAAACTGTGTGTGATTTCTAGTAAATGGGCAAAAAAAAAAAAGGACTTGATGCTGACTTGTAGACATGAGATTAATGTCAAATACTAAACGTACTGATGTCATAATGAACCTAATTCATCCCGTCATCCTGCAAAGGGCATCAAACCGGTGGCATCCTTTGATTACAGCTTTAATTTCACATTTGCTCACACTTTAATTGAAGCTGTGTCATTTGTCGTCATCTCTCAACTTGCTGACATTTCTTTGCACAGTTTTCCGTTTGTTTTTCTCACAGTAAGATGCACGCTTGTTTTAAACTGTTGTTAGACAGCACTTAAATCTGGTTGTTGGTGCGACTTCATACTGTACGTCATCATGTGTCATAGAAATTACTTTTGAAACAAATCAATAAAAGTTGCACTGTTTACACTTGGAAATTTCATTAAGAGCTTCCGACTTCTGTCTTACTTTTAAAAGTTTTAGTTAGTGTGTGTCAACTTGGGGGGCTGGTTTCCATTCACTTTTATATCAGTTCAAACTTCAGATCTCAGCAGCTCAATAATAAGAGTATTGATTATCAATTTTCACAAGTTATGATATTATCCTAAATGTCTATATTCATGATCGAAGTGAAAGTGATGTAAGGAAACTGATGCCATTAAAAACACGACAAAGCACATCATGGTTACACTTTCTTGCAGCTTTTAGCTTCACATCGCACAACAGGAACCAGGTATTAACATTTTGACCAGTTTTTAAGTGGGATTATAGGATATTTGGGGAAAAAACTACAAAGTTAAACTTGCTTCGTGGAAAAACTCCACAGATTTGCTTCAGACGGTAAAACAAAACAAGATGTGCAGAAATCAAAATGTCTTTAAGTGTTTTTCAAAATCTGGCGCCTACATTAACCACAATGCAACAGACAGCTCAGTCAGATATCCGGTTGTTATGCTGGTAGCAGCCAATGAAGCCTTAAGCTGCAGAGGTCATGTGAACTCATTGATTTGATTTCTTAGACTCGGTTTTCAGCTTCTTACTAAGCCGAGTTGTACGCCATCAATTAATGCAATTTATCAAATTTTGCGCAGCTCACTCTGGAGACTTTTGACGATTTATACAACTTTATTTTAAACGAGTACTCCTGCAAATAGACTTTGATGTGTACAATCTGTGCAGTTCCCCTAATAATAATAATAATAAGGCTGCAGAGCGTTCAAATGGACACACGTGCACTAAAGATACACGACGGAAAGCTCTTCAGAAGCAACAATTAGGTTCAATGATTCACATTTTAAACTTATTTAGCATTTTGATAAAGCAAGTTATATGTTGGGTACAAACAGTAAATGAGTCAAACCGTTAGATTAGATGGATGATCAATAACTCATTTAGGCTGACTCATAATGTAGCTTTATTGTGATACAGAGGACTGTCAGATGTTAGGAAGAAGCCATTGTGAAAAAGCAAAACCTCCATAGTTTCCACAAAACACAAATTGAGCTATGGGAGACAATTGTAAAATGGAATTTGTATCAAATAAACAGAACATTAATTTACATAAAATGATAAAGCCACAATGGGAAATATGGGCAATTGACATCAATCCTGCATAATAAGACTGGGATGTTGATAAAAAAACAGGCTACGACACACCCTTAAAAATAAAAAGTATTCATGCTGCAGCACCGTGTCAGACGACAACAGAAGCAGATTCAGTTCTCCTCGGCTCCCCTCCATGAAGAAAGAAAAGTCAGTACGCTGAAAATCTGGTTTCCAAAACAATAAAACACAATGTCATCACGTCTCTGTTTCTGTTCTGTGAGGAGACACGACTGCAGGAACAACCATGTGTGGTGACGGAGAAGCAGCTCGGTCTGAAAACGAAAACTCCAAAAGTCCGGAGATGTTGATCCACCTCAAACAGACGGATCATCCGCCGCTACGTTGCTCCGTTAGCTTAATGTTTTTCATCCATGCTGAAGACTAACTGGTAATATGATGGCGGTGAGAAGAGCTTTGCCTTCAGAGAAAAGTCCGAGCAACATATCTGAGGTGGCCTCCGTGCTGGAAAAAGATAACGTCCATCTCCGTGTCGAACAGTGCGGTGACCAGGAAGGACTTTCCTTGGCTTGTCTGCAAGAGAACACAGAAACAACACGTTCACTAAATCATTCATCAACATGCTTTTATTGAAAGGTTATTTTTAAATTATCTAGCAGCTAATGAGCAAGATACATGTATCCGAGTAGGAGGAGACTAAAAAAAGAGGTGAATAGTGGATCTACATTCTTTAAGTAGGTAGAAACATGGCCTAAAATTGGATAATAATGTTGCTTTGTATGTGGAGTGTATGTAAATAATAATTTACCAAAACGTGTAATCTTTTGACATGTTTATAATGGTTATAATAAGACAACTGTTTATTTCTGCCCCTTAGAGGCCAAAAACTGAAACATTAAGCTTTTATTTTGGTAAATCTTGATATCATTTTATAAAAAATATACACAGAGAGAGAATGGGAGGGATGAAACCCCTCTTTAATGGTCACACAGCACACACAGTGACATGTGTTCTCTGCTTTTAACCCATCCTAGTACCAGGAGTCTAGTACTAGGAGCAGTGGGCAGCTATTGTACAGCGCCCGGGGAGCAATGGGAGTGGGGGGGGGGGAAGGGGGGTGTCCGGTGCCTTGCTCAAGGGCACCACGGCAGGGCAGGAGGTGAACTGGGACCTCTCCAAGTAGAAGTCCACACTCCATATTTTAGGTCTGTTCGGGGACTTGAACCGGCGACACTACGGCTCCCAGTCCAAGCCCCTACTGACTGAGCCACTGCCGGACTGTTGCTGCACTATCTATCTTTTTTTCAACCCTAAAAATGGTACTTGTTTCAACACCCCAAAGAAAAACATCAATTGAATAATTATGTGTATCTATTCAACCCTGCTTTCAACAGTCCCAGGTACAGACATCAACAAACAAACAACCACACAAACAGTACCTTGACAGTGAGCTGCTGCCTCGGGCTCAGGCTCTCGGGCAGAGTCACGCTGAACCTCTCCTTCCCGCTGAGCTCCAGAGAGTCGGCGCTGTCGCCGGGCAGAAACTGCAGCGGCGCGATGCCCACCCCCACCAGCTGCTTCACGTGCAGCTTCTCAAAACTCTCCGCGATGACCGCTCGAACCCCCTGTGGACCAGAGAGGAAGGGGAGAGGGACAATAATAAATATACAGACCTAATCCCAGATCAAATGCTAAAGGGTCATTTTCTCTCACTGATCCTGCTGTCATGTTAAATGTTTGTTGTTTGTTTTTCATGTAGTGTCTTGATATTTGTCTTTGTTGATGTTACACATGGAGCTGCTGTGATGCAAGTCACATTTCAGACTTGATCTGACCATTAAAGAATGATCGTATCGTAAAACAAGAGGAGTGGAGTATATTAGAACATGAAAAAGCTGACTAGCATATTCATTCATATTCCATTGTTAGAAAGGGATCAGTGTTTTACAGAAGTTGTGTTTGATAAGTCAGGGTTTTCTGACACTTTATAGCTTATTGTTAAATGTAAATCCTGTAATGTAGCTGTACCATGTTAGAGGAAGTGAAAACCTGTTGACTATTATGGTCTAGTCAGTGGAAAGCAGGGTTTTTGTTAGAGGTGATTTGTGCCAGTCCATGTGTGCTGGAAGATTTCAACGTCCAGGACAAATAGGGGTAGTTTGGTAAAATATTAAATGTGTTTATTGAGCCTGATTAAATATTTTAAATGGCTACGCGCGACAAACAGACAAGTCTTCCATTTATATTTGTATATTGATAATGTTTGAGAGGTCCCTTTACAGGGTTCATACAGTTTTTCACCAATGATTTTCAATGACTTTTCCATGACTTCTCCATGACCTTTACCTAATTTTCCATGACCAAAAAAATTACTCTTTTCTCAGCGGTACCACTGAAAATTGTTTATTTTAACATGGAACAGGAAAATAAGGTCTGCATATGAAACATGTTGTGCCTATCTAAAACAAATCAAATAGTAGGCTTACTAGCTTCTACACGCTAAAGCAACTAAAATCTCACCAGCAAAATACCTCGTCAGTTAAAAGACATTTTACGTTTCATTACTATACGATACAGTATTTATTATCATTATAGTATTACTATTTTGGCGATTAGATAAAATATATTCGATGCAACTTTAGTTACATTTCCATGACTTTTCCAAAACTTTGGGAAAAATATTGTTTTCCATAACTTTTCCAGGGCCTGGAATTAGCATTTTGAATTTCCATGACTTTTCCAGGTTTTTAATGACCGTAAGAACCCTGCCTTTACAGAGAGATGGGTCAAAAACAGTCTATATACTTTTCTTAATAAACAACCAATATGAAGGAAATGACTTAAATGTTGCCAAAAAGCGTATTGTCAGTTAGCTTTTGAGTGTTTTGTCAGCATTTACTTTGCCAGGACCAGCTGTAATTTATCTATATTGCTGTCCAAAAACGTGAAGAAACCATCCCATAATCAAAGCTTACAGTCTTATTTTGCCTGTGACTCACATTCCTACGCCACATGTGCACGGCATGTGTACTAAAATGATATATATTCTGCAGCACATCCAATTTTATGATATTATGAGAGATTTTTTAATTGTTGGTCAACAGATTTTCCCGAAAAACACCCTGGTTTAGAGCGTTGTGTGCACGTACCAGCAGGTAGGGTCCCTTAGCGACCCAGTCTCTGGAGTTCCCCGAGCCGTAGTCTTTGCCGGCGAGGATGATGAGGGGGACGCCGTCTCTATGGTAACGATCTGCCGCCTCGAAGACATCCAGCTGATCAAACACAGACAGAAGAGAGGACATATTAGGACATGTTATAAGAAGCCAGTCACACACAATGATCTGGACATTAACCCTCCTGTTGTGTGCGTTTCCCCCCCCCCACCCCTTACTTTGGTGTTTCTGGTAAAAATGTGTGTTTTAAATGCTCTTACATTAATACAAAAACCATGAATCATCACCAAATGTGTATTAACACCCTTTCAAACTGTAAACAATGTATCAGACTACTTGCTATACATGAAAAACTGCAGTAAATATACAAAAAATAGACACTGACTGAACGTGTATTTTTTTGTATTATTGTGATGTAATTAACATTTATTGTAAAAAAAAAAATATACCAACCAAATTCAAATACAAAAGTTACGAGTGATTAAAGTAGTAAATGGGTCGGATTTGATCGGAATTAGGAGGGTTAAACAGGACTGGTGTTTATGTTCCTGGTCTGAATAAGTTTTGTTAGAAAAATATCACTCGTCACCGGCTTGAGCTTCAATAATCAGGGTCCATGTATTTATGATCTTCTCAAGAATGGAAGTAGTCATCACATACAGAGCAGTTCCTGAACAGTGTCCTTCACATGCTGATATACAGAGAGGGAGTCACACAGTCACAAGATGGAGGAATACCAGTTCTTGTAGGAAATCATACATCCTGTCATGTACAAAATACTGAGTTTTTTCTGAAAATGTTGGCTTTTTTCTGAAAATGTCAACATTCTGACTTTTTCTCAACATTTGACTTTTTCTCAAAATCCTGACTTTTTCTCAAAATCTCAAAAATCCTGACTTTTTCTCAAAATCTCAAAATTCTGTATTTTTCTCAAAATTCTGACTTTTTCTCAAAATCTCAAAAATACTGACTTTCTCAATTCTGACTTTTTCTCAAAATCTCAAAATTTGGACTTTTTCTAAAAAAAAATGGACAGTCACAAGATGGAGGAATATAAAGCAGTATTCAATGTTTAGTTCAGATTAGCTCCACGTCAGAAATGATCATGCTTGTCATATGTCTATCTCCATAGAGATAGACATATGACATATATTTAAGCAATAGCTCACGACAGGCCGTGGTATATGGCCATTATATCACAGTTAAGGGGCGTGGTTCGGCCCGACGCGAAGCGGAGGGTCGACAACCCCCTTAGCTGTGATATAATGAGCATATATCACGGCCTGAAGTGAGCTATTGCTTTTATAAAACGGTTACCAAGTGTGGCAATATGAAAGAAAAATACACACTCTAATTTAAATAGTTGTTATTAGTAAATAATGATGTTCAAAATAAAATAGTCCCTCCGTTGCCTTCTGCACGAAACATAGTGCGAGGTGGTTGCTATGCAACAACACTAACAACAGCTAGCGAACATATTAGACGGAGAGCGTTGATCCATTATTTGGCTATTTATTTACATTAATGTGTATGTTGCCGTTTATTGTGCACCCACTGAAAAACTGTCCAGCATCAGTAGCATGGCTTACGTGGTTACTTGTATAGGCTGAGGTTGTTCTAGGCTGTTGCTTGGCGTGGAGAGAATATTGCTCCACTTTCTCCGGTCCCCGAGATTCGGCTTCCAGTAGCTCTGGAGAGAGCTTTCGCACCTGTGGCCACTAACGGTCATAATTTCTCTGCTTTGTTTCAAGACCCGCATCAGAAAGCTTTTGAATGGTGATACTTTTCCAGTTGGTCTACTACCTGCTCTTCACGTAGCTCTACATGTCGTCGTTTAGGTGCTTTTTGTTCTGGAGATAGGCACTCCTCAATCCACTCCTCCATAGTAAGACCCCCCCCCCCCCCCCCCCCCCCCGGAGGTCGAAGTTCATCTTAAATGTTTTTGCGGACCTTTTTGATTACAGATTTGAAAACATCGTTGCTTGCTTTAAAAGTAGCACAATTAATTATGTCAAACCTTGGAAAGTATCTAAATATCCCTGCCCTAATGCCAAAGGAACTGCACACTGAATATGTTTTTGCCGTTTGATGTCTATGTCTGGACCGCTGCGTAAAAAGGAGGGTTTCTGCCCCGTTACTTCTCCGCTGCTTTCTTGTTCCAGTTAGAAAAGCAAACTGCAAGCAGTTTGCTTTTCAGCTCAACTGTATATTGTTTTTCTCAGACGCGGAGGGATACTGACTTGTTGTGAAAAGTAACTTACAATTCTACCCGTGGTATACGCTCAGTATATCACGGCTAAGAACCAATCAGATTGCTTGATTTGACGTGTCCGTTTTATAAATGACATATATATATGACATATATAATCATCCTGTTAATCACATAGCTATCATATGCCTAAAACAGTCCTGATGCTCTTCTAGGTAATCATACATCCTGTCATGTACACAGCTACAGTTGGGATACCTTTGTTATCATGTTACTCTGATATTGGAAGAGCACATTCAGCATCTTCCCAACAGGTTCCCACTCACCATCTGGCCTGAGGGAATGTGCAGAGTCTTCGGACCCGGTTTGCCGATGAAGCGATTTAGCAGCTTGATGCTGGCGAACGTTCCTCGGGTCATCACGGCGTCGTTCCCTCTGCGAGCGCCGTACGAGTTGAACTCCCTCGGTGTCAGGCTACATTCAAAATGAGATGTAAATACATGTGCTCGTGTACCGTGAGAAACAAAAAGCAACAGCGTCCAGTGACATGGTTGACATTATATCTATATATAGTTTATTTGTTAAAAAATGAAATACATAACTCATCATTTTGGTTTATAAATAATCCTTGAATGTGGTTATTTTTCTGTTTTTGCAACAGATAGTAATTCATATAAATAGTTATCACCGCAAAAAAACGTTTTTAATTTTCTCTTAATTCACATTATTTAATTTCATATTCTGTTCTTGTACATATCCCATATTCTTTTGACATGTATATAGACTTTTCCCACAGATTATATTTGTGGGAAACACAAATATAATCGCACCAGCAGACAACGTTCTTGTTGCTCTGTGTTGCGTTGTTAATGAGTGAGACACATCGGAGTTGAGGATCTGTGGGGTTTATTCTCCCAAAAATATAAATTACAATTTACAACTAAAAATAAATGAATGAATTGATGTATGGGAAACACTGTTTTGTATTTTTGAATGTTTGTATTTTATTATATACGTTGCATTGTTGGAGGAGCTCAGGTCAAAATAATTGCATTGCCATTTCTACACTGTAGCTGCTTTGTGCATATGACAATAAAACCTTTGAATCTTTGAGATTTTCAGTGACAAGATAAAACATCTGTTCCTATTTCCATGCCAATATTTGATAGGCATCTTCTCAAATGTGACTTTCAAATAAAGGATAAACGTTACTATGTAAACTGACAGGAAGGGCTGTAGCCACATTAAGATGCTTAATTAAGGATGTTGATGAACGTGTCTGTCTTTCATTACCATCTCTCAGAGTGAAACTGACCGTTTGCTCTGCAGGTATTTGGCGGCGGCGCTGACCCGGGCGATGCTTCCTGCCGGAGAGATGTGGTCCGTCGTCACTTTGTTCCCGAGGAACAGCAAGACGTGAGCGTTCTCGATGGACTGAGGAGGAGGGACATCTTTACCCTGAGGCAGAAAACAAGAAGAGGGGGAAGTTATTGTCTAAACTGCTGATATAATATATATAATGTGATATAATAATAAAGCTTTATTTATATAGCACTTTTCATACAACACATGCAGCTCAAAGTGCTTTACAAAATGACACATCACAAGTAAAACACAAACAACAAGAAATTCCCCTCAGATTATTTGTTAAGAACTTTAAAAGGTACATGCAGCAAAATATAACATTTGATCAGACACAAGGAGGTCAAAGGTATGATAATACAAATAAAATAAAGAATGGTTTCTCTCTGACAGATAAGACACAAGACAACTGAGTCGATGCAACAATATCAAACCCCATAAATCAGGTGACACGGCAAAATAAGGAAGACTCACCAACTTGCTGAAGAAAGATGGCGAACGGATATATGTGGACTTGTGATCCCAGGGAAACACCACAGAATCTGGACACTCAATGTTGCTCCATAGCGTGTTCCCTTTCTGGAGTTGGAACGAAAAACCATTTATATAATCATCACATCATTAAAGCACACGTAAAATAAATAAGTACAGATTGTGTCCTGACCTCCATCCTCCCCCTGAGGTCCTTGAAGACGGAGGAGATGACCGTGTCCTCTTCGGTCTGTTGGACCTCCTCCCTGGACGGCCAGATGTCACGCAGGAACACCTGCTTCCCCTCCGAGGTCTCACCTGCCCCGACAACAGGATGTTAGCACCACAGAGATTCAACAGAAAGACCTGGAAACATGAGACTCTTCTGATGGACACGTCTTGCTGCGTAATGCGTAATGGAGCCGGAGCGGGCGTAGCTTATACTACGCAGGATCCTATCTTTGGAACCCATTGGTCGATTTGGGTGATTGACACCTTTTCTGAGCCAATAGAATCGAGTGGCAGTTAGTAAGTCCCGCTAAACACTTACGTGGAGGAGTAAGAGGTTTGCGTAAACCTCGTGGGAGACAGCATTAGCCCCGGACTGAAAAACGTTATACCTACTCTGCTGCCATGAATGTAATGATGGATTATCAGGAACAATTCTAAAGTGACTAAGAGACATTGGATTAACCTTGAGCAGCGTTTTTATTCCCTTGAACACGACTTTTGATCACAAAACAGCAACGGTAAGACATAATTATTGTTATGGTTTAGAAAACTGTTGTTGTTTGCTAGCTCAGTGAGTTCTTGTCATCCAGTGATGATACTTATATCAAAATAATCTATGGAGTATCAGCTTTCAGATGATATGTAGTTTGTGCAGAACATATTATTATTAAAAATCGTTTGTGCTAGTTAGCTCCTGAAGTAGCATTAGCCCGTTTTCTCTAAGGGCTAATGCTAACGCTTCTTGTGAGACTTGTGTTTTGTTTCGGTAAAAATGGCTCGTATCATCAGTTAGCTGAGTTTTTTCCCGTTAGAATGGTATAACACATTCATAGTTTTTGAAAATATATATTTAAAATATTAAGAAGTGTTGTGAAAAAGAAAAAAAAGGACCCGCCGACGGGGTCGTTGGGGCTTAACAGGTTAAATGTGTGCTTCAACTCACAGAAAGTTATTTTCTGGGATTTTAAAATTGGTTAATTGTCTGAATAAAGCTATTTCTCATTGAAAATCAGTGAGGTGCGTTCAAAGGACGTCCCAGCCGAGCTGCCGTCTACATTTACTTATCTTGTATCTTCGTTAACCAAAGATCCTGACCACAGATGACTGAAATCCTAAATCCGTTTCAAAATATCACGTTCATAATCTAAAAAGATCTAGAAGAGTATCATGAAAATGCTTAAATTAAGCAGATTGACTTTTTGAACCCTAAAAGTGACATAACAAAACATATGACATAGGTTTAGCCATTTGCGGAAAAGGTGGATTCTACCTTTAGAGGTCACCTATCATGCTATTTTTAGGCAATAGCATAGGTCTCAGATATATACAAATATATAAAAAAAGTGTTTTGCTCAAAATACCAAACAGATCACCCGTTCATGCCATGCCTCATATCCCTCTATTTCACTTCCTGTTTCAAAAGTGCTGATTTTGGGTATAAAGCTTTAAAAAAATGGACCCGGCAGCTACTGTCTAAACTAAATACTGCGGTGATGAAACGCCATATCATGGATTATCAAGGATTATTTCTGAAACAGTATGGAGCTCAAAGGCTTTCTCTCTTGCCGGTTATACCACAAGGTGAGTTCCTTTTTATTTCCTGCTTCTTCACACACATGCTCTCCAGTACAGGTTAGCTCTGAGTGTTAGCGATGCTAATGTAAACACCGACCATATTACGTCCAAAACAGTCGGGCATCGTTTCTGATAGCAACGTTTCTGATAGGGCCGTGGGCGTAAAGCCAGCCTACATTTCTGATATTACGTCATATCAGACGCAAATCTGGATCAGCTCCGTTGTAGCCCCGTTTTTAGAGATTTGGGTACGGAGGAAAAGAGAGAGGGTTTTATTTTCTGACGCTGCGTGAGTTCCCCGACACACCGGGGACACATATTGATGTATAAAAGACATCAAAAAGTGCATTTTGCATGATAGGTCCCCTTTAATGTAATAACAAAGAAAACTTCTAAAGGTAAGCCCTGTTTTTGTTTCACTTCTGTTAATGTACTGTTATTATGAGATACCAGTGATTTAGACCTTAAACTACCCACAATGCCCCTTTGTCATCTGAAGCATGTCAGCACAGGACAGTTCCCCTAAATGCTCCCTCACTGTAATCAGCCAAAGTCCTAAAACCCTCAAAAGCTTCACTCACCCAGAGGCTCTTTCTCAAAGTCGATTCCCACCTTGCCGGCGAGAGCGTACGCCACCACCAGGGGGGGGGGAGGCCAGGTAGTTCGCCCGCACGCAGTCACACAGGCGGCCCTCAAAGTGCCTGTTACCAGAGAGGACCCCGCAGGCCACCAGGTCCCCCTGAAACACAGGAGATCATAGGGATTGTTGTTGTGAGATGTTTTTAATGTAAGGATCTACAGGAACAGCGAGGTGTATCATGATGGAGATGTTACCTGTTTGATTGCGTCCACGACGGCTTCAGGTAACGGAGCCGTGTTCCCCACACAGGTGGCACAGCCGTAACCAATCACCTCAAACCTGTGGGGTGAAGGAATTCAATTATTATATAACATAAGATAATTAAAAACAGTGTTCAACAGTATTTTTTTTCAATCCAGACTAGTGTTACAGGTTAATAATTGATAGCTGTCACGTGAATAAAATGATCTACATTTCAATCAATTCTGAACCATGGACTTTTATTGTTCACATTTTTCCAGAGATCTAGATCCAGCTGCTCCGGCTCTTCACAAGATTTAACTTTACCAAGCAGAGATTTCCACAACTGTTGTGTGACTTATTGAACGGTTTGAGAAAACGCTATGTTAACTGTTTAATGTTAGCTTGTTAATATATCACCCATTGGAGTCAGAATATGTTTTGATAAAAAGCTTTTAAAAAACGTGTAATCCAACAAATATGATTCAGAGCATAGCCTTTTCAAAATGTCTCTTTTACTACTGCAGGTTCAAACTGATGGTTAACATGAGTAAAGTACAGGTTGCTCTTAGACTGCATGAACGGGTTCATCCGAGGTCATTGACCTGAAGAGAAACTCTAGTGTGTGTGTCTGTGTCTGTGTCTGTGTCTGTGTGTGTGTGTGTCATCACAGAGTACACAGTCTTACCCCAGCTGGCTGAAGTAAGGCAGGACTCCGCTGGTACTGAGGTAGTGAGTGACCATCCCGCTGCCAGGAGCTAGACTGGTCCGGATGTAAGGCTTCACAACAAGCCCCGCCTCCACAGCCTTTTTGGCAAGAAGACCTGTCAATCAAAATAGAAAGCTGTGTTATGAAGATTCACCTGACCTGAGCTAAGATACAAAAATACAAAATAAAAAGTAGTGCAGAAAGTCTATATACATGTCGATAGAAGATGGGATATGTATAAGAACAGAATATGAAATTAAATAATGTAAATTAAGACAACGTTAAATACGGTTTAAAGAGTTTTATATAAATTAGTATATTGCAAGATGACAACAGGAATGAGATGACTAGATATAGAAAATGGCAGCTACCTCATAACAAAAACCCCAATATGTCGCCTGATACGGTTACAAACTGTTTGTTCAATCTGACATGCTCAGTAGGCTTTACCAACCAACTGATATACCGATTAAAATGTGTAATTATTTTAGATGTTGGTCGTGTACCTGCGGTGAGCATGACGGACGGGTTGCAGTTGTTGGTGCAGCTGATGACGGCAGCGATGACCAGCGAGCCGTGAGCCAGCTGGTACTCCTGCCCCCCGTGCAGGAAGGGGACGAGGGCGTCCTGCTTCTCCTTCGAGACGTGGAAGCCTTTGAAGCCCACCTGCAGGGACGCAAGGAAAATAAATGACAAGTTGGAAAACACTCAGCTATCAGGTAACAAGTCATTTACGTGCAATTACGTAACTACCACTGCGTTTTTTTTTGTCGAAGTCAACTTTATTGTCAATCTTTTAGTTTGTGTGTACAGACAGAGAGATCGAAATGACGTTTCCAACAATCCCGAATACAAAAATACAATTATACAGATATGTATAAAATATGTATAAAATATGTATATCCTATATACACAATCAACAGACACATTTACACATATGCACACATTAAGATAAAAATACACAACAATAAATATATACAAAATAACAGTCACTTCAATATTAATATCTTTGGTGCAAGATTGTCCATAGAATTTGCATTTATTGCAAGATTGACCATAGCAGCGTAAAAAAAAGTGTCTGGTGCTGGATTTGAGTGTCTGAGTGTGTGTGAGGAGTTATAGTCCAGTGGGGGGAGAGGGGAGAGGGGAGAGGGGAGAGGGAGAGAGAGAGGGGAGAGGGGAGAGAGTTCAGCCTCCTGACAGCCTGGTGTAAAAAAAATGTGCACTACTTAATACCAAATACTGTTAATATGTACATTAAGTATGTGACCATCTATGTTTCCTGTAGTTATTGAATTGCTCGTTTTACTGTTAGTGTACAGTTGTATTATTATTGTGCTGCTGTGTTTATTGTCTCTTTGTAACTCTGGAACAACAATTTCCTTCAGGATGAATAAAGTCCTATCTGATCTTATTTATTTTCCTTACTCTCATACTTATGCATATATAATATCCTGCTTTATATTTTGTCACTGTTCAACTTTTTATTTTATTGCCATTGTATTGAGATGTTGACATTTTTTTATGTTTATTTCTAGTTCATTGTATTGTACAATGCCTTGTCTTTTTATGCTGCTTGCAACACAAACATGTCCCAACTTGGGATCAATAATCTTATCTTAACAAAAAGATGTCAACGGTGCATCTCCTGCATCTCTGTGAGCTAATGTCTGCATGAGAACAGAAGTTTGTCTGTTACCTTTTCATCCAGACAGCTCTGGAAGTCCTCCTTCATGCTGCTGACGGCCACTCTGTCCTGAGACCTCTTGGGTCCGCTCACACAGGGCACGATGGCGCTCAGGTTGATCTCAATCACCTGCAGAGAGAGGAGTGGTTTCATATCACGTTATAGAGAGGCAAACTCCCTTCCCTTTCAGTGGACCACCATGAGACCTTATCTGGAGGAAATACTGTATGTACATTTGTAAACAACGTGAAACAAATGACTTTTCTTTCGCTTTTCAGGTGATAAAATAACCTAATCAGAGTTCCCGTTAGAATATTTTTTTGCCTGTCAAAATGTCCGTTAAAGTTGAAATCTTCAGGACAAAATGAGAAAAGTGTCGGTCAAAGGTCTTCTTTGTTATTTATTGAGCGTTAAAACAAATTGATATGATTTGATATTAAACAAACTAATTCTAGTAGATTAACTACATTATTCAAAAGTGTACAGTAACTTACAAAAACACGGGAATAATAAACGGAGCGCTCTCTCTCTCCTGACAGCCCGTCAGTATCATGCAGCTCGCGGATCCAGTAATGAGTGACCCGACAGTAAAACTAAACATATCTATAACTAGTTTAGGTAGTTTGAGAGGTAATTAAAATAGCTACGTGTGATATTCTAACCTGAAGTGTGTGTTTTGTTCCGCTCACCGCTGCAGGTGATCATGCAGAGCTGCATATTTTACCGGTCAAAGTCCGGTAATTACCGGCTAACGGGAACTCTTCCTAATGTTACATTTTAGCCTGGACAATAGTTTATATTTGTTTCTATTTCTACTGTTTCAGCTCTCTAGCCAGGAAAGGTAATCGTTAAGTTGGTGTGACGTATATTTGCGCAATGAGAGATCTATTTATGTTGAACCTTTTTTTGTTTTAAACTTTGGAAACAGGGCTACAACATTGAGGCTCCAAACATGACAACGATGATTAAAAACTACAAAAATAAAATAGTCTCAAAGGAAATCACATACAGGTTTATGAGCCACTCTCTTCTTAATATAGCAAAATAAAGAAAAAATATTTATTTTCCACGGTAGCCTTGACACTCAGAATTAACAGCAAAGTTTGACACATTACCTCAGAGTACTCGGGGTCTTCTGAGGCGTCTTCATAGCTCCGGAAAAGTTTTACAGCCTTCAGGTAAGACTCCATTAATTCAAGTTTCTCCTGGGTAAAATCTGGAGGAAAATGAAATCACGTTAGTTCAAAACCCTAGAAAAATGCTGTGACTGTAGTATTGCACCTCTCACTAAGCAGTACGACTCACTTGTGTTTCTAAAGTGCTTCAGTGTGACCTGGTCGATGGGGAAGAAGCTGACGGTGGCGTTGTACTCGGGGCACATGTTGGCGATGGTGGTACGGTCCGGCGCCGACAGCTGGGAGACCCCCGCTCCGAAAAACTCTACGAACTTTCCAGAGATCCCAGCCTGCCGCAAGTGCTGAAAAACATCAATGCACAAATCACATGAGTACTGAAGGAATGGCAAAATGAAGCCATATTTTCCTGCAAATAGTGTCATATAACCCTTATTCACAAGTCAGATTTACGTGTGTGAAAATGTACAACACAGTTTCTCAAAGTCCAAAGTGATGTCTTTAAAAATCATGTTTTGTCAACCCGAAATTGAAGAGGGAAAACCACATTTATAATCAGAGACAAAAACAGGAAATCTACATTTCTGATCTATCACTTCTCTCAACAGTGAGTCTGCTCATTTTGAGATGATACATTTGATTCTTGGAGCAATAAATCTCTCCTTGTCAAGTCTCTTATTGATGACTCAAACTCAAGAAATGGGAACTTGTGTGACGAGGCGTTTTGATTCGTTCAATTGTATCTAGATCAACTGAATGCTTCTGCAACCAGGTTAAGACACAATGAAACAAATATGCAACTAAAAATGTAAACAGAATATCTGCACAGCACAGAAATTATGAATTACAAACTATTTGTAACAGCCCTTGAAGACACACAATCCTAATAACACACAAAGGAGAGCAGTGCTACCTTAGTGATGCTGATAGCACACAAAGGAGAGCAGTGCTACCTTAGTGATGCTGATAGCACACAAAGGAGAGCAGTGCTACCTTAGTGATGCTGATAGCACACAAAGCAGATCAGTACTGTAGGAGCCACACGTAAAGTATTTTCTGTGTTTGTAACGTCACATCTTTTGAGTCACTATAGGTGGCGTGTCTATTGGATTTGTGTGGTGACGTTTGCGGTTATATCCGTTTGCGGTTATATCCGGTTGCTTTTGCCTGCGCACTTTGTCATAGATGGAGGGGGAGTGAGCTGGGGAAGGACCATTTTTGTTGACCGCATACGCAATCATATACTGGATATGGACTAGAAACAATTGTACGTTTGCTTGTTTCGTTTGCAAATAAAAGGTCAAACGCATACCAGTGGAAAGACAGTTTTCTTGCGCGTCAGACAATGTTTAGTCCCTCGCAGCACATTTATTGGATTACTACAGCCGCAACAAGTACCTTAGTGATGCCGAGCACGACGTCTATGGAGGTGGTCAGAGGGTTGATGGAGCCCACCAGCTTACAGCCCACCACCTCGGGCAAGGTCAGAGACACCGGCTGGCCGAGCATCACGGCCTCCGACTCGATGCCCCCAACACCTGGGGGACAAAAGACTGTTAAACACCTGAACTTTGGAAAGAACATCCATCTGTTTGCAACTCATATATATCAATATTCCAATTATTGCATATAGACTATTCTGAACTGTTTCTATTATATTCTATTTTATGTTATTTACTTGCACTATTATCTGTTTTATTGTGTTGCACTGTTGGAGGAGCCTGTAACTACACTGTAGCTATGTACAAATGACAATAAAAGCCTTGAAACCTTGAAAACTAGGTATTAATCTACATGCCTGATAAGTCAACAAAATCACAAATACTTTCAAGTTTAGAGAGTTTTACCCCAGCCCAGGATGCCCAGGCCGTTGATCATGGTGGTGTGGGAGTCGGTCCCCACCACGCTGTCGGGGTAGATGAAGCCGTCGCTGACCTGCACCACTCTGCACAGATACTCCAGGTTCACCTGGTGGACCGCACCCACGTCCGGAGGAACCACGTTCACGTTCTTAAACGCTTTCGAACACCACTGAAGAAGAGAAACAGGGGGGGAAACATTTAACTTTGTGTCTAACTCAAGGTAAAAACACCATTGTATGATGTTCTCTAAAGCTCTTTTACGTTTTCCTCAAAATTACAGAATATTTCCATTTACTAAAATTATACTTTTTAGTTTGACTTTAACAACCTATAAACTAGTAACCTCTGTTATAAAAAGTATTAAATAGTCCACCACCCTCTCTTTCCAGACAACATTAAAGTGCAGTTATACATGTTGGGAAATGTGGGGGAAACTTCTGAAGCAATTGGAAACAGGACTCGGAGAGGCACGAGGAGAGCTGGAGCTTTGATGTCAAACACTGACGGTTTATTTGGAGTTACGGCCGGAGAATTGACGAGACAGGTGGTGTGTCACGAGTTGACACAGCGGTTGCCAAACCAATTCTGAAGAACTCTTTCTGCAGCTCGAGGTTTTAAGTTCAGATTGTAATAATCAACATTCTTTATCAGTGAGACTAAACAAATATGGACCCTGAAACTAAGTAGAGCTCTCGTCCATAGAAAAGAATGTGCGCCAAGGAACCTACGTCCCTGAACAGTAAACTACCTCATGGCGGCTTGTGCTCGGTCATAGACTGGCAACAACAATGCGCCCAAGCTGCCCCTCCTTAAGAGAGATAGCAACAATACCCAAGCTGCTCCTCCTTAAGAAAGATAGCAACAATACCCAAGGCCGTAGACCTATGCCATGGGAAAGGAGACAGTGAGAGGAGAACATGATGAACTGGGTCGAAGGTTGAATACCTAAGCAAATTATTCCCTAACAGGAAATACATTTCTTGCAAAGAGTTTGATCAGAAGATTGATACCACTCTTGAGTCTGTTAAATAACACATATATATTTGGTATTTGCTTCTACCTTGAAGAACTGAAGCCTCTCCTTGTTTCTGATCAGCTCCATTTCTTGATTCTTCAGAGTTGTTTCAGTACTGCGGAAAAGAGAAAAGGAAACATGATAAAAGGGAAACTCAGTGTCGATCAGTGACCTAATTTGACCTTTGTAAGGGGTGAAACAATATAGTTACATTTATCAGTGACTAGGTTTACGTGCACAACATTTTCGTTTTTTAACTTAAAGGTGGGGTAGGTAATTTTGGAGAAAGCAGCTCGAGTGCGCTAGAATTTGAAAATACACAGCCGGAGAAAATCTGCCACTTCCTTATAGAGCCCCTCCTCCAACACACACGAACGCGCACATGACCAATGAGGGCACGAGATAAGTTTGTGCACAGATGGAAGGCTGACAGGCAGGTAGGCCATCCAGTTATTTTAGCAGGGCCGGCTAAAATGATTGGTCGTGCTTTTTACAGTACTACGGCTTCCACAGATGACATTTTTTTATGGATTTGTTGTCAAAGCACTTAAGATATTCATTGCTATCGGGATGTTAAGAGCATTCCATGGAATATAACAAAAAGTGTATCACGAGCCGGTTTCTCAAACTTACCTACCCCACCTTTAATACGAAAAGACAGTATTTTTTCTAGGCTGTTTACATGGCCAGCAGTGCATACTCTGATTAAAGTAATACACTCAAATGAAGTACCTCCTATGGAAACACTGTTTAAATCACTTGAATTAGCCTGTTTTTTTTACCTATAGTCATGTTTTTCATAATTTTTTATTTTAGGAGCGTTATTTTCTATTCTATCAGTATTTGGGCTTTCTCTTCAACATGCATCTCTATCCCAGCTATGCAAACAGTTGGATAGTGTTTTTGCATATTACGTGCTGGCTGTAAACAGACAGAGGCTGTGTGCTGCAAAGTGTGGGAGAAAACAAACAATTGAGTCAAAAGAGCTTCACACACACACACACACACACACACACACACACACACACACACACACACACACACACACACACACACACACACACACACACACACACACACACACACACACACACACACACACACACACACACACACACACACACACACACACACACACACACACACACACACACACACACACACACACACACACACACACACACACACACACTCACCACACACACACACACACACACACACACACACACACACCACACACACACACACACACACACACACACACACACACACACACACACACACACACACACACACACACACACACACACACACACACACACACACACACACACACACACACACACACACACACACACACACACACACACACACACACACACACACGTTCTTTTACCGGGACACACCCATCCACACCGTGCCATCTCTAGAACCATCTCCTTCACATTAGTGTACCTGCAGATTTTCCATGTGATTCTCAAAATGCAAGAGTTTGTAGATGATTTCAAAAACTCACTCAGACACGGGCTGCAGGTGGAAGGGACAGAGGAGCGGCGTGTTCTCGATCTGCTGCCCGGACCCTCGCCCTGCGGCGGGTGGAGGGTCGCTACAGGAGGACTTACTGCAGGACCCCCGCTGAACCCCACACTGAGAGCCCCGCCACGAGGGAGCCGGACGGGAAGGACCCTGACTCTGACCGTCCCCTGCTCCTGGGTTAGGAGCATTCTGTATGGCACTGTGGCTAAAAACAAAAAAATGTTATACAAAATAATTGATTACAGTGTCGTTAGAGTAAATACATTCAAGATAAATAACTCTTTCTACTTGTGCTTTGTATGAATATATATAAAAAAGATCCAATTATCTCACATTGTCAATTTGTAAAAAAGGGAAATGTGAATGTAAACACACCATTTGCTATAATCAATCTGTAATGAGTGGTCTACGATGAGGTCTGTGGGGCATTTCGGGTTCACCAGGCTGGGGTCCATGCCCTGTTTGGCCACTGCGTCCCTCATGGCTGCCAGGTCCACCATGGCAGGAATACCACTGTGAAGGAAAACCAGGAAAATAAAAATAAAGTCAAACACATTTCCTTCAGGGATATATCGGAATAGTCTGTGTATTAAAAAACAACTGAAGACCCATATTTTTACACTGGCTTTTGTTTTGAGATGCGTGTGATGTGTTCTGTTGTTATGTTTGTTCCTCTCAGGACTCCACGTGGTCTGTGTTGTGTTGTTATGTTAACCTTACATTTCTGCCTCATGTTGTATTCATGTTTCTGGGGTCTTCATTTGAACTTTTGTTCTTTCTTGTGAAGCACTTTGTGAATTTTATTTCTGTGAAAGGTGCTATACAAAATACACGTATTATGATTATTATTATTATTATTCAAGTATGACAATATGAATCATTTGTTTAAGTCAATGAACGCAAACAGAGATCATGATGAAAGAAGAACTAATGACTCGGAGACTCACGTGAAGTCCTGGAGGAGGACCCTCGCTGGAGAGAACGGCACCTCGGCTTTGCTCTGCTGCTGCTGCCAGTCCAGAACGTTCTGCACGTCTGCCTCTTTAGTGAAGAAGCCATCGCAGTTACGGACTGCCGCCTCCAGCAAGACACGGATGGACAAAGGCAGCTTGTCTACACAGAGAAACAAGATACATTCCCCCTTTAATTTTGCACAGTAAACAATGTGTAATTAGATAAAAAGTGTGTATTAACCGTTGACTGTGTGATATAAGTGAAGGTTAATGCAGCCTGGAGATTTCCTACATTTAAAGGCATATATAAAAATGTTCTTGTGCTGTTTACTTTCACATGTATAAATGTTTACGCTGTAACCCTGGGACGCACCTGTGGTAAACACAACCTAAATCTGTAATAGAACAACACGCTGAAATATTTCAACTCTACCATGCTGTACTACTTCTAATTCTTGCACATCTGGGTCAGAGACGAGGAATGCTACCAGGATAATGTCTCTACATTGAGATACATGTGTTTCAATATTAGCTTTTTTTTTAAGTCTGAGTGGCCGAACTCACCATATCTTGGGTCACTTAATTTCTGTAGATTGAAGAACTGGATCTTGCCATCTTGTAGTGTGTCTATAAGATGGCTGTATGGGTGCTCTGCAGAGGGAAAAACATATGTATTAATACAACAGTAATCCAAGCTAGTGTGTCTGGAGACTTCCATTCTCCTGAAATCTGTTTTCCTTTAGCATGTCTTCTTGCAGGTTGGCTTGGTATAATCTGTGGGAGTTTAAAATGAGTGGTATAAACAAATTACCTAACTAACAAAATATACCCAGTGGGGATCTCTTCAACCAAGGTACTTCACACCATGAAGAGGCTTAAAGGTATCTCGAAGAAACTTCCAGAAAGCCTTATTTTCCAGTTTGTTCATCCATAGAATTGACTCATTACCTACATACCACAGCGTATTAGTGGTTATAAGTAGCTGAGAATAGCCACACTTTGAGTGTACTATAGTTAAGCTTCTTAGAAAATGTAAGGATGAATGGCTTTGGGGCAAAACGTAAAAGCAGAGAAATGTGATTTCTTCTTTTGTGGCTTTTACGTGTAAAGTGAGCGAAAGCTAGATGTGGTTACGTTAACCCCAAAGGTGGCTGTAAATGTTTATTGTTCATACTATTTTCCTTGCTGTATAAAACTAAGCTACACCAGCGCTGAGCCCCGATGGACAGTCACCTTTTAATGCACAGCAGAACTCTGCTCTCACACAACAGGACATCCTGTGTAACTGTGCCTCTCAGGTTACTGGCTATGAAAGCATATACACTAAGCTTTCCCAATGAATTATTAGTGAAATATTGTGTAAAATAACTGTATATTACCTTGGTTAAAAACACACAATGTATGCTTGTTTTCCCAAATCCTGTGTATGTACTTACTCTGAAGAAGGAATGTCCTCAAAAACAATAATACACCCCTGCACTTTGTCACGAGAGCATTCAAATATGAAACTTGCGGAAAAGATGTGAGCACGCATCTCACAGAAGTGGTTTCGTATAGTCGTACAAATCTATAAGTGATGTGAATAACACACTAATGGAGTTTCACATCTTCTTAATCTGAAATATTTCCTCTTTTAAAAAAAAAATGATTAGCTGTGTAGAACTGCAGAAAGAGCATTGTCACTGCTGACGGAGAAAAAGGCAACAAACCAAAGTATGTATTTAAGCTCAATTTAACTAAGCAGGCCTGAACCAGTTTTGAAACAAAGCTTTTAATACCCAAATAATGACTTAATAAGTGTTTCTGTTCTCAGCTCCACTGCTAAATATTCTACCATGTATATGACATTTGGCATCTCTTGGCCGGATAAACAACTTGCTGACTACTCTCATTTGGTGTTTTTTGAGTGCATGACAAATGTCCCTCCCTCACTGTGATGCCTTTGTCAGCTAGTGTGTCAGACTGCATGCAAAAATCTAAAAGATGTTACCTAGTGCAAAGCAAGAAGAGTGGAAAACTGGAACATAAAATATGTTCTTCTACCAGAAAATGACTTTTCCACTTCTCAAAATCTTATCCTTGATTTAAATCAGGGATGTCAAACTCAAATACACAGTGGGCCAAAATTAAAAAATGGGTACTAGTCGAGGGCCGGACTGGTTCAATGTTTATTGTAAAACTTATTGAAATGAACTTATTGCACATATTAAACCTGGAACTAACAAAGCTTAAACTATGTATATAAAAACAACATTAAACATTAAATAATTAGTTGCATTCATTTCTTATGGCTCTATCTGCAGCTTTTCCGGAGTCATTTCTTATGATTACATTTTTCCACAGGCCAACAACAGCTTCAAAAAAACTATTTCCCTCAAAGAAAAACCAAACATGCCCTGTTGTCTCAAGAAAAAAAGTGCAGAGAAAACTCAGTTTGCTGCTCTGTGATGCTAGTTCAAGCCAGATACTTGGCATCTCATCTTGGGTGCAAGTTCATCAATGTTCAGGCTCTGAGCTGAGGAAATCCTCAGGATTGAGTGAAGGTGCAATATACCGGCGGGCCAGATCTAATAGTAATTAGAAATTATCCTGCGGGCCTGATTTGGCCCCCGGGCCTTGAGTTTGACACATGTGATTTAAATCATGAATTTAACAATGGAGCCGTATGGAGGACATGTTCAACTATTGAAAACAAGATGCCATGTCAGCATCTGAATAAAATACATGTATATAATAAATATTCCACCCCTAAAATGTCAAGCCCTGACATCTGTTTAAGTTAGAAGTGGCTGTCCCACACATACACCTTTTAGATTAACTGTAGTGAAAGGTGAGCACATAACAGCCATGCACTAATATAAGTATATAGAAATGCCTATGTAAAAGTTGTTTTTTAATAACTTTAAGAAATATGACATGATCACAAGCGAGATCATGTGGAGATAAATCATTGAGAGAACCAGTTTAGCCTGCTGTAATCCACTGTTATCGGATAGCTTACATACCATAAAGATGACTCTTTGGATGTTTGTCTCATCAGACAATATCATAATCATGGCCTATAATCCCACATTCAACACATCCATTGTGCTCTGAATTTAAAAGCAATCCTCTTGTTCTTTGCACAATGTCCCTGTGATTAATATACCAGTCAAATCAGACATTGCACATACAAGATGAAGTGTTGCTTATATTATTAGAGGTGATGTCTGAGAACATCTCTTCATCTGTTACTGACACGGTATTAAAGACAGCTACAAAGCTAGCTCTTATCGTGTAGCACACTCGCTAACCAGCCACTTATCGGGCTTCTGGCTGTACGTATAACAAGATAAGAAAAAGCAAGGCAATTAAACACAGAAATAGGTAGAAAGTATAGTAAATTTGTGTCGTTTTTAGCACATTAAAGACACCTATAGCTAGCGGAGTTGGCGACATTAACGGCTGTATTTGTAAAGCAAACAAGCTAATGTTAGCATCAATGTCTCCAACAGTTTACTTTATGTAATGATCACTAAAAGCTAACGACAGCCATCTTGATCGGAAGGATGACTTGTTGTTTAATCGATTCCTGTCTTTGACGGTAATCGGGTGAAAGGATGACTGCTTAGGTGAGGTAAGGTTAGAAGAAGATATTTACCTTTGACTGGCGGAGTTAGCGCCATGATGACTTCTGAAATGAACACGACCCTTCCTCGCCGTCACTGCACTGGGGAAACACCGAGCCGACCAATCAGAGGCCAGAGATCCACAGCCACGCCCACTCAATAATTAATAAAATAAAAACAAAGCATTTTAATTGCTGATGTAATAATGAAATGTTATGATCTGACTAATAATAAATAACTGACTGTTAAAAAATTACTGATGAAATAAAAGTACAATTTTAATTACTGAGAAAAAAAGCAGGACATTTTAATTACTGACAAAAAACAAAAACATTTAATTACTTACCAAATTAAAAAACACATTTTTATTACTGACAGCATTCTAACCTACTTACAAAATAAAAATAAATATACAAAATACGATACAAATAAATACAATACATTACTAAAACAAATACATCTTTATTAACTGAAAGTTACTAAAATAATAATTTTCAGAGGGAAATGTACTTTTTACTACACTACCAGTATCTGGCATAGTTACTAGTTGCTTTACAGACACTAACAAAAAAGGGAACAGTTTATCAAATATGATACTGTGCTCCAGATTGAACTCTCCAACAGTAGTTTCCACTTTCACCAGCTGCTGTCACATTACTTAAAATGTAGCTTAAAGGTCCCCTATTATACTGTTTTTCATCAATATATTATAGGTCTCAGATATATACAAAACATGTCTCTGAAGTGTTTGGCTCCAAATACCAAACAGATCATTGCAGCATCCCATAATCCCCTCTGTTTCAGCCCTGTTTCAAAAGAGCTGATTCTCTGTCTGTTACTTTAGATGAAAATAATGAGCCACTCCCCACGCCCCTCGGAGAGATATTTGGTTCAAAAGAAAGGGGGGGGGGGGGGGTTAGCTTGGTTGGTGATTGGCTAATGGTTACACAAGCCAAAAAATCGTTATGACATCATAAAGTGGCCAAAATCTGATCAGCTCATTTTCAGACAGGTTTTTATATAAATGGTTCAGGACAAAAAGTGAGATAATCTCTTTACACAGAGGGGACACATGTTTAGGTATAAAAGACATGACAAAGTGGATTTTGCATAAGAGGTCCCCTTTAAGTGTTAAAAGAATCAGTAATATATAATTAATATTATATATAATAATATAAGGGTCAATCCAGAATTGGAGGACATTTAGACATAAAAAGAAAAATGGAAACGGTAATAAACCATCAACATTTTATTTTTATTTGGCCAACCCAGGCATCAATGTACACTTTGTATTTGTGACCCATAAACTATCTGAAAAAGACCATTCTGTCAAACAAATGCCTTTCCTTTAATACCTTAAGTATTGTGATGCTAACACGTAGGGCTTTGCACTCATTTTGAATCAAATGTAGCAATATTTTACACTGTGGTATTATTTCTACTTTAGATCGAGTAGAAAGATCTGTTTGTTCATTGTTTGTACTGGTTTCTTGTAATTCCTACTTTTGCCTCGGGCCATGAATGCATCATCATCGTCAAACTGCTAACTTGCTAATGTAAACACATCGGGTAAACATCGCCATTACAGGGTCATCTGGAGGAGAAAACTAACGTCAGATCACATATTATTAATCCAAGGTAAGTTAATACTATCAACAACAAAACGCTACCTTAAACCGAGTAAACACAACCCATGAACTTTCACCTTTGACTGTGTGTTACATCAGTAATGGACGGAAGACATAACCCACCTTGCAGCAGAGCAAAGAGTTTAACAACAACAACAACAACAGAGACTCTGGAGCTACTAAACCCCCGCACAGGTATGTTTTATCGGTGTGTTTTAGTTAAATCTGCCTATTTCTTACACACTTTGTATCAGTCTTGTTGTTTGCTAGCTAACACAGCGCGAGGACACTGTGTGACATTGCACGTGTTTCCGCCTTCCTTCACCAACCACTGCATAACAACAATCGCTAATTAGACTTTAACATGGCATGTGGCTGCTTAATGTGTCGTTAAATATGTATATAAGGATAAATCCTGTTTTAGTTTTACATGCTGACCCTCAGTGATTACATTACCAGCTGCATAGAAGCTGTACATGTCATTCTCTGCTGTAAACTTCCCCTCTTTGTCCTATATTTCCGTATAACATGAAGTGAAGTACCTGAGATATGGTTTATTTAATGTAGCATGTGTAAATACAGCCAGAGGCACAGCCCTCCACATTCTTCAGTTGGATCAGCCACAGGTCTGTCCTGTTGTTGTGACATGTACCTTTTAAATGTTGTTACAATAGCTGTGTGTGAAGGGAAATTAAAAAAAAACTCTTCCCCTATTGTAATCCTGCGACATGTCATTCAATTTATTCTGCAGAGATTTATTGAATTATCTTGTAAACTGAGAATTCAGACATTGCCACTCTTGTGTTCTCAGGAACATAATATAGCTGCAAAGCCACAAACCATTGACATACAAATATTAAATAAGCAAAATAAAACGAGTATGTTTGGGGTTTTGGTCCCATTATCAATACATCAAAAGACATTCCTTTTGATATATATTTTTAACCTTAAGATTGAGTCCTTTGATCCTGGACACAAACGTTTTGAAACGTGTTCCTCTGGCAGGAAGGAGGCTGAGTTCCTTCAGTGCTAACATTTTTATCCCATCTGCAACGACCCTAATAAAGAAGGTTAGGACCCCCATTGACATGCATTTCCTTTCCCTCTTATTGTTTGTTTATTTATTTAAACAAGGACCATGCGTACATAACATTAATCTCAGAAAAGAGAAGATATGTTTTTTGCCAGATTTTAGCTAATAGCTCATTTCCATCTGCAGTTTCTTCCAAAGACACTAACCTTGAAAGCATGTTAAAAATAAGCATTCTCAAACCTTCAAGACTTTTTACAAACCCTGGTAATGCCTCTTGACAACCATCCAAGCTGATCCAAGAAATCAGATAAAATAATTAAATACTAATATCTTATTACTTCACAAACGGTGAATGTTTTTGTTGACAGGTGTGATGGCTGTCGGAGGACCGATGACTTCAGATCCGTGGCTTTAGTGGCGCAGCGCTGCCCTCGCCGGCACCATGCAGCAGAAAGGTGCGATGCAGATCATCGAATGGGAGGACCTGGACAAGAGGAAGTTCTACTCCCTGGGCGTGTTCATGACCTTGACCACCAGGGCCAGCGTCTACCCGGCCAGCCTGATCCGCACCCGGCTGCAGGTGCAGAAGGGGAAGGCCCTCTACTCCGGCACCATCGATGCTTTCTGCAAGATCATTAGAGCGGAGGGTGTGCGAGGCCTCTACCGGGGCTTCATGGTCAACACCTTCACGCTGATCTCAGGTCAGGCTTACATCACCACCTACGAGCTGGTGCGCAAGTACGTGTCCCAGTACTCTCCCAGTAACACCGTGAAGTCGGTGGTGGCTGGAGGAGCAGCTGCTCTGGTTGCTCAGACCATCACGGTGCCCATCGACATCGTGTCCCAGCACCTGATGATGCAGGGCCAGGGGGAGCACCTGACTCGCTTCAAGGCCAAACCCAAGAGGATGCTCGCAGCGTCGAAGCGTAAACTCACTTTCGGCCAATCGCGGGACATCACGGTGCAGATATTTGCTGCTGATGGTTTCAGGGGATTTTACCGGGGATACGTGGCATCGCTTCTCACGTACATCCCAAACAGTGCACTCTGGTGGCCTTTTTATCATTTTTATACAGGTAAGGAAACACCCTGTTTAATAAAGTTTATTGATACCAATGTCATTATTGATTCAGCACATCGGTCAGATTCTTTATGATTTCCTGATGCATTCTCTATGTGAAAAAAAAGTTGGCCTGCATAGGATTTCATCGTCAAAATATAGAAACAAAATATTGGTTCAATATAACACTGAAGGACTAAGTAAAGGGATTCAAATGGAAAACACCAGTTGGACAGCATGAGTTTTGCCATTGTAAGAAAGAAATTCCAGCATTAATAAATATAATTGATAACTTAGGAGGCATACAATTTCAATCAGACAGATTTGAACAAAATTCTCAATTTCTCTTCATACACTCTGTTAGATTGGATTCATATTGAATGTTCTTAGCCGCTGGAGGCATTTAAATAGTGACCGAAACCACTAATATATTGGGCTTACAGTGTTTTTATATTCTTTACGTTTCCAGAGCAGCTGTCCTTGATGGCCCCCACCGGGTGCCCCCATCTGATTGTGCAGGCTTTGGCCGGACCAATGGCAGCAGCGACCGCCTCCACCATCACCAACCCCATGGATGTTGTTCGAGCAAGAGTTCAGGTAAACACTGAGAGACACCATGTTGGAAAACATTAAAGCTGACATTTACTCTGTGTTGACACTCAATACAGCTGGAGTCAGCTCGTTTTTCTGTGTTGCTACACTTCCTCTTGTTGCTAAGATTACACAAGAGCTTCCTAACATGCTCTTAACTTCATTTCATCATCAGGCTGATTGGACAAAAGCAAGGCAGGACTACAATCTGGTTTAAAAATGTTACTTAAATCTCTTTTTGATGACTAAAATCAGACTCAAATGACAACAATTTTCATTGGCTTCATACGATTTAAAAACCTAATAAGCAGATGTTACACAGGACCAAGACTAAATCAAAAACATCTGACAAAAGTGCTCATTCATTTGGAAAAAATGAAGTAGAACTGGAGACAAATATGCAACATACAAATAGTAGAAAAATGTGTCCTTTTAGTCGCTGTTCTGGAGCTTTCCATTGTTTAACATGATCTTCCTCAGCAGATTTTTTTTGTTGACTTTGAAAGACTTTACGTGCATGTTGCCTCTAGATCAAACGTGTATTCTTGTCCTTGGAAACATCTGTTAAAACAACAAGAATTCACTTTAAATCTCATCCCAAAATGGATCCACAAATATCTAACGATGTACCTCTCTCCCGTCTCTTAAAGGTTGAGGGCCGATCGTCCCTCATCGAGACGTTCAAGCAGCTGCTGGCGGAGGAGGGGGTCTGGGCGATGACGAAAGGTCTGTCGGCCCGCATCATCTCCTCCATGCCCACCTCGGTGCTCATCGTGGTGGGATACGAGACTCTGAAGAGACTGAGCCTCAAAGACGAGCTGGTGGACTCCAGACACTGGTGAGGAACCAGAGGGAACTAGGAGAGATCGCACCGTGATTCACATCCACACAGAATCTCTTCACAGGAGAGACGACCAATATCTGTGTCCAGCAACGGGATGAATGCTCTTCTGTTTATCTGCTTTTCACACGCCTTGTTTTTAGATCTGGTGTTGTTATAATGTTGGTACAATGCAGCGGAGTGCAAATGGTGATGTTTAGGTACAATTGGGAGTTGCAGGTGTTATTTTACCCTGCCTTTTTTCTATTTGTCAGACCCATTTCTACTGGCCTTACCGTGAAATATTAAGATATAAGTGAAAACAAGGTTCTGCATTTGCCCAAAATGTCCAATCTGAAGAAAAACACACAACAAAATAATCCTAAAATGTAAAAACTGTCTGAATAATTAGCTTTTTTAAGTATAGCATATATCTTAGACTCTGTTTGATTAATGCCTCCCATACTGGTATGACTGCAGCAGGCGTTTTATTTTTTACCGCGTCATATTTGAACAACTCAGTCAGCCTAAGCTTGTGAACACTTGCTGCACCGTTTGAGTTACTTTAAATTGTACAGGAGAAATACATAAATCGCTAAAGTGTGAAATGTAAGCTAAAAGAATATTACAAAAAATATGTGAAGATCTAAGTGAAACCTAGCTCGAGTCTGTATCGTTAGACCTAAAGTCTTTCTGTAATCAGCTGTGTCTTGTGATTTATTAAATAACTGTCTGAAGTCTGAGGGGGTGCGGGTATAATGATGAATTCTACTTAAGGATACGTTGATCAGACAGGCTTCTCTGCTTCTCATTGTTCCTGTTTGTGTAAATGGACTGTACAAAACAAATGGAGATTGACAGAAAAGATGAAAATAGATGTGATGTATCAGCAAAAGTGTAGTTGATGTTATAGGCCTTAGATAACGTTGAAGATGTGGGAATCATAGGACACTTCTGATTATTTTCTACTTTATTGAGACTGTTCAGATGACTGGGAATCAAATCTGCCACTATTTGCTTAAAGCTAACACAGAGAGAGTAACGGCAGTGGCAACACATCAGCGAAACTTTAACATTGCCTTCAGAGTTCACCGTCAAAGGCCATATGACTATGACTGCCAGAAAACATCTCAGTGAGCTTTGACACTGCTCTTCTCTTGTATAAACTTGTTATGCAAACTGCACTCTTGTTTAATGGACCCCAAATTATGATGTGATTGATTCCTGAAAAGCACATTTAATGGACGTTTGCCTGAATGGAGGAAGTGCTGCACATGTGTTCAACAACCACCTGCCGTGTAAAAACAAAAATCCAACAATTGTTAAAAGTGCAGTTTGATGTGTGTTGCAAATTAATAAAGCATTCTGAATCACTGCAGCTGTTTTATGATCTGTTCTTTATGAAATATTTATATTTTAAATAAATGTGTAGTGCTTTGTGCAACTTTAGTTATTTGAGGCTGCAGTTCAGCTGCTGGCCCACAGAGGGAGCTCCACTTCACTGCATCTCACTGCTGCTCTAACAAGCTAATGCAGCTCTCATGTTCTCTATTTACAGGATCCCAAAGTAATTTCTTCAAATTAAGGAGCAACAAAAGTGATGAAAGGCTAATAGTAAAATGATCCAGTCTGAATTTAAACAAAACAGAAAACAGTCCAATGAATAAACGTGCACTAAGACCTAACAAGAGGAAACCTAAAGAGTATTTACTTGATTCGATAAGTTTAAAGTTGTATATTTCCTAATACCCTGTCATTCGTTTAATCTAATATTCCTTTACTGCCATGTGACAGTTTAGAGCAGGGGTGTCAAACTCAAGGCCCGGGGGCCAAATCCGGCGCGCGACTTCATTTCATGTGCCCCACAAGAGCTCTGAAAGAATATAATATGTTTATTATACGGTTACATGCCGCTTTACAGAAGCACGTTGCCCATAAACTACATGTCCCACAATGCATCTCAAACTTTACTTTTTTCTCAGAATTTGACTTTTTTTTTCAACATTTCACTATTTTTTCTCAAAATTGTAATTCTTTTTTTGGATTTTGACTTTTTTTTCCAGAATTTGGCTTTTCTTTTGAAATGTTATTGTAACATTCTCACTGAAGAGACTTGCAATTATTTGCCCTAGACTTCTGCTTTCAGACGTAGTTAATTATGAAGTTATTACCCTATCTGATAATAATCCAATGCAGAGGAAATAATGTAATAATACATTATTTTATATATGTTAAATATTTATATATGTATTTTTATATAGTCTTAAAGTTACAACCGGCCCTTTGAGTGCAGCCATAATGCTGATGTGGCCCGCGATAAAATTGAGTTTGACACCCCTGGTTTAAAGGCTCCATACTCATTTGCTATTTGATCTGAAACCTCAAGATAATCCATTTAAAATGATATGCCATCCAAAACAAATCCTGCTATAATACATAACTGCATGTAGAGAGCCCATTAACCAAACAAAAAAATACAAGGGAAACTTAAGTACAAAAGAAACCCTTTTATTGACCGCAGTGGGCCAGTGCAAAAACCCAACACATGTACAGCCCCTCCCCACACCCCCCCTCTATTACCAGTGTCCACTCCCTGATGTAGTAAACCTATGCAGCTCCTCTCCTGGACCCCCCTCACATGGGACAGTCGTAGATGTGGATGGAGCGGTCGTCTCCGGCCGAGATGATCTTTGAGCCGGTGCTGTTGTACTTCACACTCCAGACCTGAAGACCACAGGAACAGAGAGGACGGGATGTTAGTTAAAGATTCACAAAACTTTACCCACATTTTAGAACAAATATATTTATACAGCTTTTTAAAACAGGGATTTCTCGACCTTTCTCAAAGAATATGTACACTAACACTTGAACCCATGCACGAGTGCCATATGTGGTGTAATGTGTTTTGGGCCATAACATTACATTACAACAGGATTGTACGGTTATGAATGCATTATAAGTTAGTTATGATGTAGTTAAAACAATATTGGATGATAGTCATTTTTTGTGTGTTTTGGACTGAGATAAATCATGGGTCAAAATTGACCCGCGACACCATGAACGGTAACAGCTTTCGAACACAACACAAGGGTTAATATATTTTTCAATCATAATGTGACGGTTTCAAAAATGATCAGTCCCACTAATATCGCAAATCATCACAGTTGCAAATATAAAAAAAACATCTAAAATAAAAGAACGAAGCAAAGCCAATCTATTAATTGTCTGCAAATTATCCCTGTGGCATTTCTAGTTGTGCCATCCTTTTATCATGACTCAGAAACACTAAGGCTCTGTTGCCTCCCTGAGCAGCTGTGATATTTCATTAGGAGGTTTTGTTGGGGCGCAGATCAAACCCCCCCCCACAGGCGCCAGCAGCCGGGATGTAATGACGGTTTATTGCTTTAGTGCGAGCTGGAGCGTCAGATAAGGGTCATGTGAGGGGCCTCGCCCTGACGTCGGCCATATTGATTTCCCCACAACACATCAGCACCTCAAGCAGATGGACTTTCTCCCTCTGGATCTGATTATGACACTCATTATGACACTCAGTGAGGGGTTATACAGGGGAGGACTGTCACCTGGTCCTGATGGTCGAAGAAAGTGTTGATGCACGCTCTGGTGCCGACGTCCCACACCTTCACACTCTTATCAGACGAGCTGAGGAGAGAGGAGGCAGGTCATGTTACAATCTCACGCTGCGTTTGCTTTGAAACTGTGAACTGGAAACTTCTGAGAAGAAAAAAGCTTTAACTGACAAATGCTTTCACACCACAGGAGCATGGGAAAGAAGACAAGAGTAAACGCGTCTAATGTACACAGTGAAGGGAGAAGGCTCACACAACTACTGGATGTTTTAATTTAGTGTATTTACATTTTTTTTAACACAAACATTTGTAGGTAGAGAAATGCTACGCTGCAGAAATGCATTGCTGCAATTAACTTAATTTCCCAAAGATCACAAAGTAATGGCTTTAAAGGTCACCTATCATGCTATTTTTAGGCAATAGCATAGGTCTCAGATATATAAAAAAATATAAAAAACATGTCTATGAAGTGTTTTCCTCAAAATACCAAACAGATCACCCATTCTAGCCATGCCTCATATCCCTCTATTTCACTTCCTGTTTCAAAAGTGCTGATTTTGGGTATAAAGCTTTCAAAAATAAAATAATTGATCAAATAAAAAAGGAGGGGTCTGAGCTCATGCGGGACCCGGCAGCTACTGTCTAAACTAAATACTGCCGTGATGAAACGCCATATCATGGATTATCAAGGATTCTTTCTGAAACAGTATGGAGCTCAAAGGCTTTCTCTCTTGCCGGTTATACCACAAGGTGAGTTCCTTTTTATTTCCTGCTTCTTCACACACATGCTCTCCAGTACAGGTTAGCTCTGAGTGTTAGCGATGCTAATGTAAACACCGACCATATTACGTCCAAAACAGTCGGGCAATGTTTCTGATAGCAACGTTTCTGATAGGGCCGTGGGTGTAAAGCCAGCCTACATTTCCGATATTACGTCATATCGGACGCAAATCTGGATCAGCTCCGTTGTAGCCCCGTTTTTAGAGATTTGGGTACGGAGGAAAAGAGAGAGGGTTTTATTTTCTGACGCTGCGTCAGTTCCCTGACACACCGGGGACACATATTTATGCATAAAAGACATCAACAAGTGCATTTTGCATGATAGGTCCCCTTTAAGTTATGAAGACTGATGAAAGTAAAGTCCTCCATTATCAGAAGTTTAACAAAGACATAACAACCACATGTTTTAATGAGCACCAAGACCAAAAAGAAGGACAAATAAAAAATATGTTTTTTGGGTAAGTAAAATATAAAACCTTTTTAAATGTTATGTTAAATCAAAGTGCTTTATGCATCAATTTCACCTCTTTTTTGTCGGAACATGAGGTTGTTTTGACCTTGTGTTGTTTTGATTTTACCTGGAGACAAAGTGTTTGCTGTCTGGAGAGAAGGCGACGTTAAGAACCCAGGAGCCGTGTCCACTCAGGGTGCCGGCCAGGTTCGCATGTTGCCTGTAAAACAAAAGCTCAAAGTTTATTAAAGCAAACACATTTTTTACTTTCTTTTTTCCCCCCTCCTAGTGTTTATTTATACTCTTTTAATCTGTCACAACTGAGGACACCCTTTCCCTCCCTTTATTTGTGTGTATATAATATAAATACTGGGTATGACAACCATATTTGGCAAAAACGTTATCTACGATCTGCAGGCTGAACTCACACGTCATATATCTTGATGTATCCGTCGTCGGAGGCGGTGACCAGCAGCTGGGAGTCGGGGGAGAAGGTGAGGGATCTGATGGGCATGGCGTGACCTGAAGGGAGAAACAGGAAGTTATATTCCTCACTGACGCCTTCTCAGGAGGCACTCTGCGCGCTGTAGGCGTCTCGTTGCACGCTTGAAGCATCGATGAGGGGCTGGTGCCGACACCTCTATTCTGCTTATTTTGAATAGACTTAAAATGGTGCTTATGGCAACAACAAAAAATACCGGATAATATGACCGGAGATATTTGAAATTGCTGCGATCTACCCGCACTGCCTTGGCGATCTACCGGTCTTGGGCATTGGGCACCCTTAATGTATATTATTATAAATATATATAGTTTATTTTTGGCCTTGTATATTTATTTCGAATCTTTTTTCTAACTGATAAAAACAATCAACTAATGATTGTATATTGATTAGTCAATTCAAAGAAAACTCATTTAAGTTGAATTCATTTATGTAAATTATCTTGCAAAAGCCGGAAAATGATCAATTTCACAATTTTCAAAAAGGTGAGAATTTGCCACCTATTTTTTATGTAAATGTTTTCGTTGTGAAAAAGATGTACCTTTTTCATTATTTTCTGACATTTAATAAACAAATGCTTAAATTATCAATCAAATAATCAATTATCAGAATAGTTTTGTCACCAGTTGCAGCAATTGATTCATGCAACGTATTCATATTCAGATTTGTATTTTACCTTCCAGCGTATGGAGCAGCTTTCCAGTGGCGATGTCAAAGATGTTGATGATCCCATCGATGGCTCCGCTGGCCAGATATTTCCCATCAGGACTCTGAGGGGCATAGCATAGAGAACCATTGCATTTATTTAACACAGGGTATATGCAGGAATCCTGAAGTCAAATGTAAGACCTTTTTTAAGACCCTTTCCATACATTTTAAGACCTCATCGCCACTTGGAGTTCTAACCGGTTACATTGGCGACACACTTTACCTCACATTGACTATATACAGTATTGATTGTCCTTCCTCCTTATCTTCCAACCATTTGGACGCAAACTTGCATTTCCCCATAACGATGTTGTTTAACAACCGGCGTAAACGGACCTGTGAGCGTGCAATGTCCTGTTCAGATGACGTCAAATCCAACAGGATGCCATAAATAAACTACACAGAATCACACTACACACCTACGCAATGATTACATTCAGGCAGACTGTAGAATACAACTCTTTGGACAATTTATATACTTATTGAAAACAAGCTACAAAATGTAATACCTTGGAAAATGCAGTTTAATACTTTTTAATAGCCTTCATTTTCACTAAATTGATTTATCAACTTTTAATACTTTTTAAGACCCCGCGGACACCCTGTAACATAACAACTACTTTCAAATGTAACTAGGGTATGACCTATAGCTAGTTCTAGGAAACCTTTTCTTAGAAAAAAATGGGGTAAATCACAATAAACACAAATCAAGATGAGTGATTGTAAAGACAGAGAGGGCTCCATGCAGCCGGCCAGAGGACGATTTATGATTCCTTACGTAAGCTATGCTCAGGATGAATTTCCCTCGAGTGTCCAGAGAATGCTCCTTCTTGCCACTTTCCACGCCGAAGATGTTGACCTTGCCGTGGTGGCTTCCTGTGGCGATGTATTTAGAGTCTGGGGAGAAGGCGACCGACCAGGCGTCAACTAACGAGGAGAGAGAAGACAGAGGGAACGTTGAACACATCAAACTGACTGACAGAGTAAACCTGCTGTAGAAATAAGACAACTAAGTATTTCTGCTAAATCTTGACAACACTGTTATTTATAAGCTAAATGTTGTTATGTAAATCTACAAATATAAAACAAAGGATTTACTTCAGATATACCAAAATTCATTTTGTCCCAAGAGAGTAAAAAAAAAGGTCTTTAATCCAGTGACCCGGACCAACCACTGAGTGAAATGGAGCGTCTAATGGGAGTTGACATGTCATAAGATGAACTACAGCTCGGTTCAAGATACACAACGACAGAGACATTTTTCTGGGAGTGGGGTTCCTGAGAGGTGAGAGGAAGAAATAAAACAAGCTAAGCTTCACAGCCGAACAGAGGAGCTGTCGTCACCTGCACTTCTGTTTGGGTATTTAACCGAGTGACAAAAGCAGTGACTCAACACTTAATACTGCCCGGTAACAGCACATCCACAAGGTCCAATCAGAAACCTTTATTTCAGAAGTGAGTTTAGGAGACACGATATTCAAAATGTGTTCCCTCACAGGCGTCAGGAATGTTCTAATAAGGGAATCATCTGTACCTGTAAAATGGCAACTGGAAAGTCTCATAACCAATTACGGTGATTATGTACTTAAATTAAACGGTGAACATTTTTTAAGAAATATGGAAGAATGAACTATTCTCTAAACGGAAAGGTCGGAACAAAAGGCCATTACCTAAAGATATTCAGTTTAATATGATATTAAACCACGAGAAACAGTTAATTATAGCAAAAAGAAGCTACAATCATCAAGTGTTTCATAAACTGTTTAAAGAATGTTGCTAGACAACAGGCTTTAAACAATGAATCTATATTTAAAAAAAGTTGGAAATAATGTTTCTGTTCATCAACTAATCATTTAAACTCTAAAAAACAGTGGGTGTTTCTCAATGTCGAGGACGCTTCCTTGGTAGGACAAGTCCCTCCGAGTCAGGTCCTTCAGAAGCGATGCAAGAATCCTTCCTAGCCTCGGAAAACGAAGAATGGTGGAACAGGCTAACAGGTGTGCAGGTGTGTGTCATATGCGAGGCCCCGCCTTAAATGGAGCGCGATTTCCGCCAAAGATTTGGAAATTGGTCCGTGCGCAAAGCATTGTGGGGATTTTAAGACCGCGGAGGATACACATGTGCAGCCTCGAAATTTCCCGCAACGAAGGACGCCGGCCTCGGTAGAATTCCAAGTATCCTGGACATTGGAACAGTATTTGCCGACTTTAATTTGTCAAAAGTTTGATAATTAACCAGATAAATTAAAAGCCATGGCAAAAACGTTCTTATTCAAATTCTTGCTGAAGATCAATCATACAGGAAAAAATAATATATATTGAATTAAAGTAAAATATAGATCTGAGGGGGAGGCCTCCTGAATACAAAACCAATACATTATTATCCATGATCCTCTGAGGCCTCACCAGGTCCGGCGTCCATGGACTTGATCTGTTTCCCGGACTCCAGGTCCCAGAGACGGATGTGAGCGTCGAGGGAGCTGGAGGCGGCGATGGCTCCGTTGTGACTGATGTCCACCGACACCACGCCCAGCTGGTGGCCCTCCAGAGACCACTGCAGCTCCAGCTTCTCATCACACCTGCAGGGACACGTGAGGACAAACGGTCAAATAACATCAACTCAACTTTTAGGACAACATGGAGGAGAAAGTTCTGAAAGTGCCTAGAAATAAAATTCTAACTTAAAGGTCCCCTATTACACTTCTTTTCATCAATATATTATAGGTCTCAGATATATACAACACATGTCTCTGAAGTGTTTGGCTCCAAACACCAAACAGATCATTGCAGCATCCCATAATCCCCTCTGTTTCAGCCCTGTTTCAAAAGTGCTGATTCTCTGTCTGTTACTTCAGATGAAAATAAGGAGCCCCTCCCCACGCCCCTCTGAGAGATATTTGGTTAAAAAGAACACAATGGTGCTCTAGGAGGAGATGCAGGTGATAAGGTGGGGGGGGTACCTTGGTTGGTGATTGGCTAATGGTTACTAAAAAAAAATCGTTATGACATCATAAAGTGGCCAAAATCTGATCAGCTCATTTTCAGACAGGTTTTTATATAAATGGACCAGGACAAAAAGAGAGAGAATGTTTTTTTCCTGAAACGTTCAGAATCTCTTTACACAGAGGGGGGGGGGGACACATGTTGATGTAGAAAAGATGTGAAAAAGTGGATTTTGCATAATATGTGACCTTTAAACATCCACAATTCCATGAAAAATGTCTAAATCACATTCAATAAAGATTGATGAGAAAATGGGTGATAAAAAGGACCAGAAACAAACCCTATAGCAACAGTGAGATGCCCAATAATGTCAACATGGCATATTCTTTTTCCCTTACATTAACTATGTGCTGGTAAATACTACTATTGAAGATCTGAAATGAAATTGTAAACATTTCCCGATCTGATGCAAAGTTGCACCATTGCTACAGATTTACTTTATGTCATTTTGGTTTGTAACAGATCTTCTTGAAGGAAAAGTTTTAGATTTAAAAGCGGGGACATTGCTAAAGAGGGAATAAACTGAGGCGGGCAGTCAGGTGTGCTACTGCCATCTCCGTTTATGGTCATAATCAATACCCTCGCTACCCCTACAGATCAATACAAATGGACAACAGTCAGGCTCAGTTAGGATTACCTGGAATGAACACAAAATAAAACGATGGTTTGGTTCTATGGGCTGAATGTAAAGCCTTTTTCAAAAAAGCCCATGGACAACAGTTTATCTATTCATTTTGATTTAGCCTTTAAAACGTGATTTTATCATATTTTTATTTTTTGTTAATAATCTATAAATGATTAATTATTTATTTATTCCACACATGGCAGTTATTTTTAAAACAAAACATGTACACTTATACTAGTGTTTTTTTTTTATAGCGGAAGGTAGAAAGGAGCAGGGAGAAGGAAATCGTATTTGACCTGCCCCTTCTTACAAAAAAAACAACACTAATAATAATAATGTTCTGTTTTTAAAGTCATATTTTTCATTTGTGTTATTTGTGAAACACCTTGCGTACCCTGGTGTGAATGGATCTGGCCCTTCCTACATCCAGGACATGGTTAAACCATACACCCCAGCACGTGCACTCCGCTCTGCATCAGCCAAACGGCTCGCTGCACCCTCACTGCGAGGGGGACCCAAGTTCCCATCAGCAAAAACACGTGGGTTTGCTATCCTGGCTCCAAAATGGTGGAATGAGCTCCCCATTGACATCAGGACAGCAGAAAGCTTACACGTCTTCCGGCGCAGACAGAAAACTCATCTCTTTCGACTCCACTTCGAGCGATAGAATTACTAACAAAGCACTTATATACTAACAAAGGACTGGCTTATCTAAAGCCAGTTGAGTACTCTATGAAACCTGATGTACTTATATGATTCTGTTTTCTTCAAGTTTGTATCTTCTTGGTCGAATGCACTTATTGTAAGTCGCTTTGGATAAAAGCGTCAGCTAAATGCAATGTAATGTATAAGGTATTATAGACAGTCAAATATGAGTTGAATATTGACAGAACACTAGAAGTCATCTAGACAAAAAACTATCAGAAAAATGTAAGAACACAAAAAAATGAAGTTCCATTCTCATGAGGGAAAACAATTGAAATACACTCACCATTTCCAGACTTTCACCATATCATCCAGTGAGCCGGTGACGATGGTATCGGAGCCGTCCGCCTCACTCTTCCCCCACGCTGCGGTCCAGATCGCATCATCGTGAGCTGAGAGGAAACACACGGGTTAAAGCTCTGATGAGAGTGAGGAGAAGTTATTCAACCTGAAACTAGCAGAGCTGATGGATAAAACATCATGTATAAATGTATTTCTTATATGTCTACTCTATGCTATTGTTTGTTTGTTTTGAACTGGTAACTGAATGCTGTGTGATATCAATTTCCTGTGAAATGTCTATGTGAAGCGCCTTGAACTGCACTTATTGTATGAAAGGTGCTATACAAATAAAGATTACTATTATATTATCATCACAAATCCATGAAAACTTATGTTTGAGTTTTCAGTATGTTTTTAGCAAATGTCATTTTTTTAAAGAGTACATTGTGCTTTCTGCATTCACTAAGGCATTTGACTGTGTATGTGTGTTTGTTGAATGCTTGTATGACATTTTACGGTGTCATTAAGTGCTTAAAAATGTAATATTATAATTATCGAGGATTTACAACAGTGGATGTGAAACTGACATTACAGTAACCATGGTCAGGATAATGAAGGAATATGTCAGTGTGTATCCATAATGTTACTCACCGTGTTCTTGCTTGAAAAGAATGCTGTACTGAAATCAAAACACATCTCATAGTTAATATGTGAGCTCTTTCACACATAATGCAAACAGTTATAGGCAATATTCAGTACGAGTGTTCACGATATGTTCATTATATATACTGAATCAATTTAATTTAAGTCATTTTAATGTATTAATTTGTTTGCATTGCTCTAAATGTACCTACACAGAGATAAATAACAGTAAAAAAAAAGACATGGCTGCACAAATAAAGGTCAAGAATAGATAGGACCACTCAAAATAGCTTCACATGTGTAAATATAGATATGAAACGCAGCAAAGACCAAAAACCATGTTGAGTTAGTTGAATTTGTTGCTTACTTGAGTGCTCATGTTTCGGTCCTGGGAGTCAGAGAGCCAGTTATTAACTTACTTTAACCTGAAAACAACAATAAAGTGTGTTAGTTTGACCAAGTAGGACATTGTCATTCAAAAAAAGTAGTGTCACTGACAAGAGCAACACAGCATTAACAACACAATATCAAAGTTGTACAGCTACCACAGTTAGGAGGGAATCGTCACAGAATAACAAATTAAACTTCACAGCAAAATATGTATACGGTGAGTAATATTAAAATCTAAAAAACACGGCTAACAGGAGCTAGCTCTAACTAGCAGCGGGTTTTCTTGGGGTTTTAACAGTTAACCAGAATAGCGGGCGATCCCCCAGTTTAGCGGGCAATGTTTATTGAAAATACAGAATTAAAATGTGATAAAATGTGCACACACTTACCTTAAAATCACCTTAAAATATGTTTTATTCAATATCTGAAGCTGGGTGATTTACATGTGAGACGCCATGACAACATCAGGCGTAACTTCCGCTCTGCGTCTTCTTCGTGGGTTGCAAAGAGGTAGACGGGTAATGTACGAGGCGCTCTACCGCCACCAGCGGACTGTGGAGGAAAAATGCTATTACTTCATTTGATAATTATGTTTTGAAACGACTGATTTGGTTGATTTAAAGATACAAATTATAGTGCAAAATTATTTTAAAAGGGATTGTTATGAATGAATGAAAAATGCCATATTTTTTTGGTACATTTATATTATAGAATAAGCCAGTAAGATTGGTCTGAAGGAGAATACATATTGAGATGGCAACAAAAAGTACAACAAATAAGAATTACTGGAAATGTTACTATTTAATTTGCCTACAATATCAAAAAAGCAGGTTTCTGCTCAAACTTTTACTTTTACTTCAAACTTCAGGATGTTCAGGAGCTGTCTGTTTCTCTTCACTACAACAATAGCCCATAGAGGAAAGCCTCTATGTTGCAGAAAGACAGGCAATCCTGAGCCTGAAGAGTAAGCAGAAACATATTTTGACAGTTGCTGAAGCAGCAGTCTGAGCTTGACACACTCAAAATAAAGGCTGTCAAGAAAAAGTTTCAAGAGAATCATTTCAAGTCGAGGAAAGTGAATACAGTGTTTTCTAAAATAACTCTGAATAACTGAAGGTAAGCGGATATCGGCAATTGTGTTTTAGAGAAAGGGCATCAGTGCTGACAGCTTGAGTGAAGAAGATGAGAGATGTCCTATTTAGAAAAGTGTGCGTGTGTGTGTGTGTGTTAAAATAGCAGTAAAACCTCCATTAAATTCCATAAAAACAAGATGAACTATAGAATTGGCCTATATTTCAGTCAACAGTCAAGGATTTTATTATTACTTAATTATCCCGTAAGTGCTATTTGTTAGCAACCTTAACTCCTGCTGAGGGGGACCCTTAACGAACAGGACGACTGAAAGTTTAGTCTTTCTCTGCTTTATGTGACCACAAGCTGTACCCCACGTCCCACCTGTATGACTGCATGTAGTAGGTCAAACCTAATGTACCTTATGTCCGGTACTTTAGTCTCCATTTTTAAACTATTTTTCCAAAGGCTGTTATATCAACATAATTATCCATCCATCCATCTTCTCCCGCTTATCCGTGGTCGGGTCGCAGAGGTAGCAGTTCCAGCAGTTCCAGCAGAGAGCCCCAAACTTTCCTTTCCCTGGCCACATCAACCAGCTCTGACTGGGGGACAACATAATTATACTTTTTAATAAATGTTAAGCAGGGAGATTAATCATAAAAGCAACCATATGAGCACCGAGCACTTATCTTCTCCCGGCCGCATCTGGAACTTTATAATTTCTCTTTCAAGCTTCTTTCTGTTCGTTGGTCCTGCAGGCAGTTCTGATCAGAGCGCTGCTATTTTCAGCCAAGTGATTCATTTGCCTTTTCGGGGTAATAATAACAGTGGGTAATGAACCTAATGTAATGACATTAGCTGCAGCGTGCTGAAGGGAAGCAGGACTTCCGTTGTCATTATCTTTGAAATGACAAAATGAAGTGCTTCGAGAAGAGAACATTAAACATGCATCTATCTATCTATCTATCTATCTATCTATCTATCTATCTATCTATCTATCTATCTATCTATCTATCTATCTATCCATCCATCCATCCATCCATCCATCCCTCTCTCTCTCTCTCTCTCTCTCTCTCTCTCTCTCTCTCTCTCTCTCTCTCTCTCTCTCTCTCTCTCTCTCTCTCTCTCTATCTCTCTCTCTCTCTCTCTCTCTCTCTCTCTCTCTCTCTCTCTCTCTCTCTCTCCCTGCCTGCCTACCTACCTACACGTTTTGAGTCAGTGGAAACAACCTTCTTGAATATAAACTTGTGGAGTATTAGAATATAGTTGAGTGGTTTATCAAATCTATGATAATGTTGCCCATAAAGTTGGAATAAAATATGTTTGTACCTCTTCTCCTGAAATGATTGAGTGTCTCAATAGGAATAAAAAAGAGGAATGTGTCTGAAAACAAAATCATTCCAACTTTATGGGCAACAGTGTACTTCACTTTTGTAGGTATTATTATTATGATCTGAAGTTAGTCAGAGTTAACACAAATGCATATATATCTATCTATATATCACTGCCCAGATATGAAGAAAGCATATTTTGTTTTACAGTTAAGTACATGAAGTGAAAGATGAAGTTGTAAAATGAATAAAAAGTAATGCATATAATTGTGTAAAAATACAACTTTAAGAGTTTAAACACTGATTATGATATTATTGAACAATTGTCTAAATGTCTAGTATAAACATTTGTATGAGTATAATTCAGTTCACATGATGTAATGTCAATCAACAATTAATAACAGTTCAAACCCAAACTTCAGCTCAGCTTCACTTTCTCTCTGCCATCATGCTGCCTAAGCTCTACAGAGGGAAAGCATGATCACGCTGATTCCCTTACATACATAATGTAACCCAATGCATACATAATAAAAACATTGTTAAAGCCCGAGGGGTACGTATAGGATCAACAAGAAAACATCCAGAGGATTTATAATCAGTCCAACAAACCTCTTCTTTGATCCATGTTTGAGGCACTTTGATAACATCATGCAAATATATTGCACCATTTTAGTCCACAATGCAGACTTCAAGTTAGATTTACTGCACATTCAGAGACGGGACAATGCCCCCAGATGATCAAACTTTACATTATAATACATAATTAATAGAAAACAATTCCATGTGTTTGTAGTAAATACACTCTTTCCATGTTTCTGCCTGAGAGAGGAATGAACAAAGGAACAAATCTTTGATCTGTGTTTATGACTCAAGGTTAGTTTCAGGCTAATTTACAGAATATTTTAAATATCTAACATTATTTAGTCAACTGTGCAGAGCAAAAGAGAGTAGAGACAGACCAGGAAACATCCACAGACAAAGTATAATGTGTTTGAAAATGGTATATATAATTAAATGTAATATCCAAATCAGGAACACTTTGACTGAGGATGTTATTAAAAAAAGTTATTAGAGCTTAATAAACTTTGTTCTGTCAATTCATAATTTTGAACAAAGTAAGATCATTGAATTACTACTCCTAAAATAGCCTTTTTGCCAATATATGTCAACAACAATAAAAGCCAACTTCAAAATAAAAAAGAAGTGATTCAATAAGGAGTTATTTAACAAAGTAAAGCACTATAAATACGCTCTGAAGGAATGAATGGAGTCGTTTTGATCCCCGGGGAGCGCAGAGACACGTCAGTCTGTGCTAATGGGACAGAGCGTTCAGGGGGAGGGACGTCCTCTGACTCCCATCAGAGACACAAGCTATAAAAGAGCTGAAGACGCGACTGCAGCCGGCACTCGAAGACACACGGACGAAGCAAGAGAGTGTGTGTGAAGAGAAAATAAGAAAATAAAAAAACACTTTGGTGAACGAGAGGCTGAGCCCAGCAGCAGCAGCAGCAGCAGCAGCAGCAGCAGCAGCAGAGGAGACAGGGAAGGAGGAGGAGGGTGAGACACTGAGAGACAGAGAGACAGAGGGAAGAGAGACAGAGAGACAGAGAGACAGAGAGACACAGAGAGACACAGAGAGACAGAGAGACAGAGAGAGAGACACAGAGAGAGAGAGACACAGAGAGACACAGAGAGACAGAGAGACAGAGAGAGACACAGAGAGACAGAGAGACACAGAGAGACACAGAGAGACAGAGAGACAGAGAGAGAGACACAAAGAGACAGAGAGAGAGACACAGAGAGACAGAGAGAGACACAGAGAGACACAGAGAGAGACACAGAGAGACAGAGAGAGACACAGAGAGACAGAGGGAAGACAGAGGCATCAGGACGAGGACCGGGTTTCTTTCTGCAGCGCTCAGCCTCAGCAGACATGCCTAACTTTGCCGGCACCTGGAAGATGAAGCGGAGTGAGAATTTTGATGAACTTCTCAAAGCCCTGGGTAAGCCTCGTTCTTCCTCTCCTCGCCTCTTCTCTCTCTTCTCTCACCCTTCCTTTATCCGGTGCTTCATCCCTGCATGAGGTTGACTATCCATCATATCCTTATAGAAGAAATAGGCTGTTCTTGTTCTTGGAGAACGGCTCGCCTGACTCCCAACAACATGGTTTTGTCCTGGGGAAATGAACGCAGAGATCTTCGGGGAGATGCTGCGGCTTTCCAGGAGAGATGAAACACTGGATGCTGAATTCCAGCCTAAACAGACGTGGTATTGTTACATGAAGAGGGGAAGGGGGGGGGGGCACAACATTATTCATGTAAAGCATTTAAGTAGGGCATGCATTAGGAATGCCAGGGGAGGTCTCTGGAGCCCAGTCTCTCTCTTGTGTCCTATCGTTTTCATTCTTCCCAGTCCTCTCTGATGATTGTGATGGTTAGATTTGGACCCGTTTAACTGGGTCACTACATTGTTTGTGCAGCGTTTGGTCACGCCGGGAACGCTCAAACAGACAGGACACATCAAAAGGGTTTGTGGGCCTTTAGAAAAATTTTGAAATCTTTAGGGATAAATCCCACTGGGAGTACGGGGAGCAGCTTCAACTAATCTCCAGGAACTGTAGACACCAAACAGGAGGATTAGTAGAAGTTTTAGACATGTATCCTCCCTTTTTAGTCAAATCTGGGAAAGATAAGTTGGAATATGGAAAAAAATGTCTTTGTAAAGAATAAACAAATATCAGTTTTATTGTTTGTTCACGCTGCTGCACACATGAGAGATTTCTTGAGTATCTGAGGACATATCTAGCTAGAAAAAGGTTCTTTAAACACCCCCTAATACCGTGTCTTCTACATTGTTCCTATTGACAACAAAAAACATACATGTATTCCAGGGTTCATACACTTTTTCACCAATGATTTTCAATGACTTTTCCAGGACTTCTCCATGACCTTTACCTAATTTTCCATGACCAAAACAATTACTCTTTCTCAGCGGTACCACTGAAAATGGTTTATTTGAACATGGAACAGGAAAATAAGGTCTGCATATGAAACATGTTGTGCCTATCTAAAACAAATCAAATAGGCTTACTAGCTTCTACAGGCTAAGCAACTAACATCTCTCACCAGCAAAATACCTCGTCAGTTAAATGCCATTTTACGTTTCATTACTATACAATACAGTATTTATTATCATGAGTAGGGCTAAAGTATAAATTATATTTGATGCAACTTTAGTTAAATTTCCATGACTTTTCCAAAACTTTGGGAAAAATATTGTTTTCCATAACTTTTCCAGGGCCTGGAATTAGCATTTTGAATTTCCATGACTTTTCCAGGTTTTTAATGACCGTAAGAACCCATGTATTCCACCATGAAGTATTGCCTTTGCAGTCACACGGTAGCTTATTTATCTTTTCCAGAGAGCTTAAAACTATTAAAAACACATAAGAGTAACACATTTGCCCTAGGTGACGTCATTCCTCTTTCTGAACCCGGGCACTGTAGTTTATTTTGAATAAATCCCAAATACACCAGCCTTCTACTGTAAATACCAAATGTGTCCCAACAAGAAAAAGTCCCTGGCAAAAGCACATTTTAATGCCGGCTGGATTTACACTCTCGAAAAACTACAGCGTCCAGCTGTATTAGGTAATGTTTAAGCCTTGTTGTAGAAATCAAAGCATGTATTACTGAACTGAAACAAACCTTTTACATCCTCAATAGGAATGAATGGGATTGGGGCTGAGTACAGAGTAGTAGAGACAGAGGAAGGAAGTTGGCAATGATTTAGACATGCACTAATGCAATGTTGATTTTGGTCTTTTCAATGGATTTGTTGAGAATGTGAAAAATATAGATTAATGCAAGCCTTATTCTGTAAGTCACAGTTCTCTTGAACACCAACAATCATTGATATCCCTTCAAATATCACCCAGAAACCCATCCATTTTAAAAGTGAATGAAGAAATAATCAACCTAAATATCTAAAATTGCAGCCTCAAAAGTAGCCTCACCTAAAATAATCAACCCCACTTCCAATGATTCCTTTTAATTCAAGCTCCATGAGCCACCATCCCTCCAGTTGCACTATACATTACATACGAGTACAAACCATTCACTCTCCTGTTTAACACCTCATCCATTCATGAACACATTGCCCACATCTGCTGGTGCCCATCACTCGTTGCTCTTACATAAGGACTCAATGGTCAATGGGGAGCTGCGGCTAAACTGTGGATTCCAGTTCTGCAGCGCCGCCAGTCTCCATCAACATCTCCATAATTATCAGAGGTTTCCCTACAGTGTATCCAGGGTGCAGAAAGCAGAGCGAACAGAGCTGCTAATTGAGAGCAGGCATGTGTGTCTGCATTTGATCAAAGAGTGCAACAATTCTGCACAAGTAAGGAACAATGTTGACACTGAGTTAATGGGGAGTCGATTTAAGAGACGCACATTGAAGAGAAAAGGTTGAAATACAAGCATTGGGATTATCTTAGACTTGGTTAATAGTTCTGGAGGAAATGATCTTTAAACAGGTTTCTGTGAGAGCATATGGTCCTGACTATTGGCTGCTTGTAAACATTTTTGTGGGAGAGTTATTCGCTTTTACCATTGCTTTGGACATACATAAAAACGTCAAACACAAATGTGGGTTAATTCAATTTTGAGAAGATGATAAACGATGATAAACTGCTCAGGCTCACTGATGTTCTTACATATTTAATGCTGTAAAATGCCATGGTGATATCCCTCTGATCGTGGGTGGGGTCGAGTGTAAGCTGTCTTAATTAAAATGTTTTTATGCCTGTGGGTTTAAAAAGCAACACCACGTTTTTTCTCTCAGAACTAACAAGCAGTGCTCGAAGAACTACTACGATTTTATACTTGAAAAGTAGCATTACTCAATCGTACAAATATTCTGTTACAAGTCAAAGTCAAAATCGTACTTACTAAATTTACTCGAAGTATACTCAATAAGCGCAATGGCCCATTTCAGAATCAAATAGATAACTTGATAATAATTATTGATGCACTCATGTGTCTGGGAAAGGTGGGGCACACTGCTGCTGGATTCTTTAACCAATGTTATGTCAAAGATGTATTTATTAGTTTACTTATAATCTGAAAATGTATGTTAACTGAAGCTGTCAAAAAAATGTAATGGAGAAAAAGTAAAATATTAGCTTCCAAAATGAATAGGAGTAGAAGTATAAAATAGCATACAATGAAAATACCCAGTTAAAGTACAAGTACGTCAAAATTGTACGAACCTTAAGTCAATTTATTACATTCCACTAGTTGTAATAAGGGCTCGAATACTTGATCTTGTTAGCAATGATATTGGCTTTTTATACATTCAGTTATTTCCTGTGGTAGAAAACTCAATATATATAGGGAGTATATAGAATATATGAAGCCAGTCAAATAAAATACTTTGGCAGGACATGAAGCCAGATGGCCTTGCAGGGGGACACCAGTCATGCCAAAATGTTGCCACCAGAGTGGTTAATGCTATTAGCAGGATCCCCACTCTTACAGCTACCAAACAAAAGGAAACACAGCGTTAACCTGCCCTGACATCCTCAACAGTTCATGCTTGTTCTTCTAGACATGGCTGAATAATCCCCTTCACAAACCTCAGTGCCCAAATTGCCCAGATTTCTCTGAGTTTGGAGAAATTGTTCAGTCAGAGCCAAAGTGTATTTATTGAGATTTATTTTTTCTAGATTCCTGTCATTCTTGGTTAAAGTTTAGGGCTGGGAGACGTTCCTGTTCAGCGTACACAGAAATACAATGAGACGTGCAGCCAGCATGTGCCTCTATATTTGAGGTCTAGAGTCTGATAGAAGCTGGCATGAGGGCCCGGAGAGTCTTAAATGTGGGCGGGGTCGAGGGTAAAGCAGATTAGAGAGACCACAGGACAAACTGGAAGATGCTTCTGTGAAAATGTTGGCACTACGAGAACAAAAGACTCCCATCTTCCTTTTGTCGTGATTCATCTCTCACTTTCAGTATTATGCATACACTTATTCCACATCTTGAATTAGACACAGACACTTTTCCACATTTGCGTGCCTTTTAAAAACATTTTAACAACAGTGGGCAAAGATAAACCTATTTTCTTCCTTTCAATACACCTGTCTCTTGAGATTTATGTTGATTTTACGAGGTATTAGTCTTTCTATGAGACAATGTGGCCTATTAAGAACACACAATCACATTCATACTCCAATAGCTACCCAATCAGAACTGTAATGCTGTTATAAACTCTAATAACATCAAAGTCTCCTTGGCTAATTAACAACTACCTTGTTTTAAAACATGTTACAATTGTGGAGTCATGGGTAATGAAACACAACCTTAAAACATCCCAAAGGATATTTCAAACTAGGCAGTGAAGCATCCAACTATTGCCCCTCTAATAACTAAACAAGTCGTATTAAATGGTGACACTGACCTGTTTTGTTCCCGGTCAGGAGTGAACACCATGCTGAGGAAGGTGGCGGTGGCCGCGGCCTCCAACCCCCACGTGGAGATCCGCCAGGACGGAGATAAGTTCTACATCAAAACCTCCACCACCGTGCGCACCACCGAGATCAACTTCCAAGTCGGGGAAGAGTATGATGAGGAGACGGTGGACGGAAGAAAATGCAAGGTAGAATCAAATCAGTACTATTAAAACACATATTTAAACACACTGATACTCAATTGGTTATACGTTTTATAGTTTAGAATAGGAGTAACACTCACATCTTGAAGCGCCATACTGTACCTGTGTGTTTAGCTCTTTTACAACAAACTTACTGTGTGTTATAAATCTTCATATGTATTTTTCCTGTAGTCCAGGCTGGCATTGTTTCCCTTCTTTCTGTACTAAATATATGAACCAATTCTGACTATTTAGGCTATAATGAAAAAGGTTGCATGGCTGTCACCACCGCTAAGCTAAAGGTAGCTAATGTTTGGTATGATGACGTTTAGTAGTCTCATTTAGACTTCGTTTTTGATTGTGGTTTGGGTAAAAAAAAACATTGTAATTATGGTTAGAGACAGAAGAGGCTTAGGCAATGTCTTCACAAGGACCAAACAAGACAATATGTGTGTGGACAGGTACAGAGAAGGTATGAATAAGTCAACATCTTAAATTCCCTGCAATGTATCATTAAGATCTATAAACACATTATTCAGTTTTAACAAAGGGAACATTTAATCCATAACATCTACTTAACATCTACACATATTTAAAGTAACCTGTATCTTTTCACCTCATTCTGTATGCTCTGCTTGTGTGTGTGTGTGTGTGTGTGTGTGTGTGTGTGTGTGTGTGTGTGTGTGTGTGTGTGTGTGTGTGTGTGTGTGTGTGTGTGTGTGTGTGTGTGTGGGTGTGTGTGGGTGTGTGTGTATTAAAGGTCTTCAAAGCTTTACGCACGCTATTGTTGATGAGGGTTGAATGAAAAATGAATACCTTCTCACAGTTTCATCACTTGGTATCATCCTCACGTCTGCAGCTGGATTAAGGGCAGCTTCAGTTGGGAGGAGAGTTTCTCTCTGAACCTCTTCAGGCCCTGAGGGGATTTCACATCCTGAAAGACAGTCAGACAGACAGGTTAAGAAAGTAGGCTACTCTTTTTATTTTTTTATTTTCAAAGTCTTCTGAACTCTCTGAACTCATTACAAATTCTGCTAAAATGATTGTAAAATGTGTAGAAGGAAATTCAAATTCAAATAAAATGTTGTGACACAAAGACTGTGCTATGTTACATGTAATGAGAGTAAACTGGCTTCTTAAGACACCTCTGATATGATCTTAACACTGAGACTTTTATGTAACATGTGAGGTAGGTAGTATAATCGGATAAAGTGCACGAGGCAGATGATAGTTTAGTTTTATAATGTGTAAACATATTACGATTACATTCATAAAGCTAGCCATCGTCTGTCATTACATATTGTGTCAAAGCATGAAGTATTTCACTCATAACTTTCTAAATTACTTCGTAAAGTTCATTTTTTTATAATAAGCCACCTATTGATGTGACATAATGTATTGCAACATCATAAGGAAGTCATAAAGAAAGACATACAATTAATCAATCATTATGTCTGTTGAGTAGAGGAGGTGTTAGAAATCTCTAACGCTAGCTTTCCCATTTGTAAGCAGTAGTCAATTCCCCTCAACTATGTCATTGAATATAAACAATGAAGGAAGTCAGCGCTCCAAAATGAAAACTTGTTGCCACTGAGTCACTTTTGGTAACGAGATATTTTGCCATAATAATCCAGACGCTGACATCTGTTGATCTCTATACTGCATAGCAACCTGTGTCTGAGCTAGAGAGAAGATGAGTGTTGTTTAGTATCAGTGAGGTCACACAGCGGGTAAACAACTCAAGATGTCAAGATGAGTTAACTGGATGTTTCTGCTGTGACTTGCTAAAGTGTCCTTGAGTAAGGCACTACGACGCCTTACACAAAACACTTAAGAGAGCTAACAGGCTGAAGAGTTTCTGTTTCTCTGCTGAAATGTATGAAAACAGAAAAGTCCCCGTCCTGGAGAATTCTTTGGCAACAGAAAGCAGTGATATAAATGCTTGTGGAGAAGAAATATTTCACATTGAAAGGGATAAATGTGGAATTGCGTGCAAGCATTACTTAAGATTTCATCCAAAAGCCTGAGATATTGGAGATATGTGTTTTCTTGGAACCACAAAGCCCTTCTGGTTATGTGAATACATAATTCATTTAGGGTGGATCTCTTTTTTACATGCATTTATATCAACATGCATCGTTGGAGCTTGCAAAACAGCATTCAAGAGCTAATACCTGAACAGTAGATTTGTTCTTTATCTGTTATTTTAAAGGGTAAACTACGTGTTACAGTCAGGGCGACCTGACCTATTTCTGCTCCTAGGAGACAGTGTGGGCCCGTCTGTCTGTGCCCTGGGGCATGCTGGGTACTGGGCAAGGCTAGACATGACGCGCAGAGTGGCTTCGTGGCGCCACATGACGCCTCAAGACAACTTGTCATCACACATTTGTCACATTGACTTGTTTGGGTTGGAGCAGCAGCCTCACAGAAGGTGTTTGAACAGTGACATGTTTTCACTGCTTTGTCTCTTAGCTGCAGCACAAATACATTTAAATATGTTATTTAAAGATTATGAGGTTCAAGAGGCTTTAAGCTATTGAAGCGTTAAGCCAATTTATAAATAAGTTAATGGCATAAACTGATGTATAGTCACCAGATGGATAAAAACTCTAATTGAAAGATAATGTTGCATCAAAACTGCGAGATGTGTTCAAATGTTGTTAAAAACCAAATGTATAGCAGATTTAAGGAAAGATGTGGGATGGAAAACCAAAACAGTGAGCTGAAAAGAGCTGAAAACGCTGAATTAAACAGAGTATCTGCAATTATTTTGGTGGGTTTGTCAGTACAAGCGAAATATTTCACATGGCATCCTTTTTAAATTAGGAGACTTTGTTCAACGAGCTACATTCACTCCACAGTTCATCTGATGTGGATGTAAACACCCTCATATTGAAGCACAGAGCTGCCGTCACAGACCTGTAATACTCCTTATGTCTGTCTGGATAATAGATTTTGTTTTATAACCAAGAAGATTTATGGAGGTGGCTCTCAGCAACAAGCATATTGGGCCCTTGTGTTGCAATCATATGCAAGAATGAAGCTGAACCTGCAGGAGGCAGCGCCCACTGACACTGGACCATGTGCCATGCGGGGGGCGGGGGGGGGGGGCAGTGTCGGGTGTTGGCGGACTCTCAGGTGGAGCGGGTGGCAGGACAGCCCTCAGTGTGTTTGGGCCTTTGTGGTTAAAGGGATTACAGGCTGAACTGTGCCTGGCAAAGAGCAAAGGGTTAGCTCTGCCATAAGGTTAAAGAGCTCCAGTTAATCTGAGTGGTGGGATCAGACCCCCTCCTCTCACTTACTGGAGGAGACAGTGATACGAGAACCAGAGGAACAGACACTAGACGGGCGTTATTGAAGAGAGAAAGGCATATAAGGTGATTTATGTACCTGATCTGATATATGGAGGTTTATAGGTGGCAGACAAACATGAACACAAGAGATGTTGCTGCCTTGTGAATTGTCAAGAAATAAAACAGTGCTTGAGGTGGAGACATATTTCCTCTGCACTGCTCATCCTAATTTCCAACACACACAAAGATCCGGCAAAACAGAGCCGTTGTGCTGTTTGCTATCAAGTAACCTGCCTAGATACATGTACAGGCAAACATGGCAGAGATGTCGTGTGAATAAAGATCTGAAACAAAGCTTGTACATACAAATATTTGACTTATCCACTATAGAGTTGCATTACATACTGAGACGAAGGCAAATAACGCATTTAACCCCAACAGGAGATCCTGTAATGTAATATTTGAGGTAATATGTGAAGCTCAGACGCCTCAGTGAGGATGGAGGTAAATGGATAAAAGTTATGAATGTATTTTCTAGAACAGCTGCGACTCAAGCAAGATTTCAAGGGTGTCATTTAACATGGAACGGCAGGAGCATGCCGACGGCAACATTTAAAATAATCTGTTGGGAGAAGAGAGTAGGAAGACTGATGCTTTGGACTGATTCTCATATGCAGGGGGAAACATTTGAAGTGCCCTTTGCAGAATCTGTGTCCCATTATTTTAAAGGCAGGATAAGTCTTTGTCATTCGGTCTGCTCCTCTGGTTATTTTGAAGTCACTTTTCAAGATTTAAGACAATTGAACGGACACAATATATTGTCTCTGACATCATCCATTGTTGGACGTGACATATTTGCAATTTTGCAGTTATATTGATGTGGTTGCACCTGGGGTTGCCTATAATTGATTTTGAATTGTTTCCAGAGTATTTTTTTAAACATAGACTGTGTACAAGAATTACACTGCAACATAACCCTTTGGTTCTTAGAGTACTGTTTAGAAGCCTTGAGTTAGATGGTCGCCATCTTGGTTGATTGGAGACAGAACTGACCATATTTGGCATAGCAGACCCTAAGCTAACAGCTAATGCTGGCTAGCTTGCTTGGTTAGCACAATACCTCCTTAATATAACGTTTTTTTTTAACTATGATATTAATTAGGATAGCTAGCAAAACACATACTTAAAACAAACATTGCCTAACGGAAAAAATGAACAGCCATCTTTTAGTATCGTTCAGTACAACTGTACGCTGATCAGCGCATCTGTAAAGCTATCCAGAACAGGAAACCACACTCAGTTAGCAACACAACCTGGAAGCTACAAAACATTTTTGGCTAGCGGTTTTCGTTCAACTGGATGAGGATACATTTTCCACTGACATTTTCTTTATTAGTTACACTACTCTTATTTGTTTGAAAAGGATTCTGTAATTACATGACAATACTTATTTTTTCTATGCTTTAATTTTGATTGAGAAACAGAAGAAAAGTTTAGGGAGAGCTACAAGAAAAAAGACTGCAACAACCAGCAACGGGCTGTTGTTTAAAAAGAAATATACCCCAGAAAGTCCTTTCTCTTTAAGGGAGAAATTAAATATTGAGACATATATCATAAGAGGTAGCTTCTTATGGAAACCCATTATTTAGGAAGTGGTGAATTTTTTTAGGTTTAGTGTTCTGTAATGTCAGAGAAAGTCTAGCTGAAGGCACTTCTGCATGTCTTCACCACTTGTTTGTTGTATTTTTCACTTTAAATACGAGTTGATTTGATAAAGAGCAACTGTTCCTCATAGTTTTGTCCTAAGGCAAACTGAGAGTTGGAAAAGTGATGAACAAGCGATGACTTGAGAGAGATAATGTGATCAAACAGAGGAAGAGATGAGTCCAGGAGGGAGGGACTGTGTTGTTATTTCAGGCTCTGAGTTTTTTTTTAGTCAAATCCAACTTAACAATTTTAAACCAAGCAGGAAATGAGATGTTCTCCTGACACACTGTTTGTGTCTGATAAGCAACGTAAGTCTCAGAGACTGAACAAAAAGGCAGCAGATGTTCAGATAAGTAAAAAAGCTGCAGAAACAAACTGGATTGGTAAAAACAAAACAAATGGAGGAGAAATTTGTCTTGGTCTCAAATGTGTGTGCACAAGCTCTCGTGTGTTATTTGGAAGCAAAAGACGATGTGTGAGAATTAGTCTTAATGTGCAACAGAGAGAATGAGAGAAAATCCATCCAAGTCAGAGGCTGAGACTGATGCTAACGCTAAAATGGAGCCGTAGCTAATCGACTCTTTGGGTTCTGGCTTTATTAGAAGAAAAAAATCAGAGGGAGAGCAGCAGAAAAGCCCTGCTGTTGTTCAGCTTGGCAAAGCCTGTAGACGGCAGCCTGCAGGGATCCATGATGGCTTTGCTTACCTTTGATATGGTGATTAACAGTTGCCTATGAGAAGCTGGGGCTGCTGCTCTGCGAAACACAGAGCAGTTGTGCACAAATTATCAAGTGAATTGTCTATGAGCAGCACTACAAATATGCAAGAAAATGCTGGAAGAAATATGTTTTTTAGAGGCCTATCCAGACATTAATTTAGTTGGATATTAATGTTATGTTTTGATCAGATCCAGGCTTTTGGAGTGGGATCACTAGCTTAACTTAGCTCTGGTGATGCGGCTGGTTTGAGGGAAATAAAAAAGTTTAGCAGTGTGGGAAAACATAATCAGTGTCGGAGAGCAACATAAAGCTAACACTTTGGAAATAATAAAACAGAAATGTGAATAGAAAACTAAACTTTGGGCTAAAGACTTGATTGGGAAACTGTGTCATCAGACAGTTGAGGTAATGACATACGAGCGTAGTTAATAGACCCTAAACTGACCAATATGATAAATACTCTCTGTAACCACAAATCAGAGCTACAGGGTCACCGTAGTCCGGCTCCTTTAAGAGTTATTAGTCTGAAAGTCAAAGTCTGAGCAGTTCTGTTGATGTCATTTTAAATATTATCGACAAAAATTAGCAGACGGAGGGGAAAAGAAGACAGTCTCAGTCTGCTTAAGACTCCACTGGAAAATAATATATTATATATGAACCAGGCTCATTAGGAAGTGACAGATGTTCAGAGGTCATTACATACTTGTCATAAGATCTTATGCTGGGCTTATGCTGCAATATTATACATGTTTCTATTAGCGATGGATGGTATCATTACCTGTATGTGACATGTGTTGCTCATAATGAAAACACGGAGCATTTGCAGTTCCAGTCACCATTTTGGAAACAGATGTGACACGAGATGGTGCAAGTCTCACCAAACACTGAACAAGACATCAAGACGGCGAACAAAAATATTAAAGGGGACCTATCATGCAAAATGCACTTTTGTACGTCTTTTATACATGAATATGTGTCCCCGGTGATCCAGGGAACTCACCAAGTGTCAGAAAACACAACCGTCTCTCTTTTCCTCCATACCCAAATCTCTAAAAACGGGGCTGCAACGGATCTGATACAGACTGATCCAGATTTGAACATTCCTCTGACGTAAGGACGGCGGAGCTGACCTATCAGGGGAATGAGAGGTTGCCGTGGCATGGTAACAGCATGGTAACACGACGCTCGTAACTCGGCCCCCTCCTTTGCAGGGGGGCGTGGTCAGCTGCAGCGCATGCAAAGACAGGGTGGAGGACAGCAAAATAGAGCGAAATGAGGCATGGCTAAAATGCATGATCTGTTTGGTATTTTGAAAAAGAAAACGTATAAATATACCTTATATAGGTATGGCCCTACAATATATTATTCAAATATAGCATGATAGGTCCACTTTAAATTAAACTTTAATAAACTGAAAACACACTTATAAACCTCAAAGATATAAAACACAAACACGGATATCATTGAAACTAGACAACACCATGTGGTGAAATGTCAATCAAAAGGTAACCCGGCCCCTAAAGCGCTTCATGCTTTTTACATCTATTTTAGACCACATTTTACAAAATCAATAACATGCTGTAATGAAGAAGATTTGACGCAAGCAATTGAGATCATAAACTCATCATAAAATGTTAATGTGGTAATAAAGCAAGTGAATGGTAGGGTCATTTTCTTATAGACCTCTTTAGAATCTGACCTGAGTCGTCCCAAGCAGGCTATTTTATAAGATAAAAACAAAATGCTCTTTCACTTCTGCATTGGCTTTACTTTACAGTCCTGGGGGGGGTTGCAGCTTTGTTGTAATGAAGAACAAACAACTTGCCTAAAGAAATTGGAACAGCTGCAAAGGGGAGCTGTAGATTCAGGAGATAAAACTATACGTTCATAATTACGAGCGACCGTGCCTACATGTTTTTCTTTTAATGATACCTTTACTTCGTCATATTAAAAAGCTCTAACTTGTCACCTTGATGCAGAAGTTTTGTCAGGATGTATCAGTACGCTTTGACATCACTGTTCGGTGCACTTAAAGGTCCCATGTCATGCTTTTCTGGTTATTACCCGTCCCCTTGTGTGTTATGAAGGTTTTTCTGCATGTAAACGGTCTGCAGAGTCACAAACCCTCAAAGTACACCCTGTAGCGAGTAAAACTCTAACACAGAAAAGACCTGTCTATGCTGCCCCAGAACGCCTCGTTGGAGATTTCTCTTTTTCTTCCTGGGTACAGTGACGTGCCCATACCCAAATGGACCCATTGGTGCAAATGGACCAATCCGTGGAGCCGTTACGTTTGGACCAATCCACGGACTTCCTCACACACACACTCGGCGGGACGTTGCGAGGCTCGCTGCTGTGAGGAGCGGACAGTGTGAGCTGGCTCACTGGTGTGGGGTCAGCGAGACAGCGAGACACCGCGAAACTCAGCCTGAGCACACACACAAACTCCCAGCCAGGCTGCGGGTGTGTGTGTGCTCGGGCTGGTTTCGGGCTGGGTTTCGCTGTCTCGCAGACGGCCACTGGGCTCACAGGGAAGGGGGGCAGGAGCTCCAGAAAGCCGTTTAGGACAGAGAGTGAATACACATACTATACAGAGATGCTGTATGAGAAACCAACGTGAGTTTGGAAAATTGCACAATATAAATCTATTCTAGTAGACCTCAACAATGGAATTATGATCAGTAGAAATGGCCATGACATGGGACCTTTAAGGCCCATTAGGTGACCTTTTAAAGGACATGCGTTGCTAATGTGTTTTACCTTACTGACCTCAGTGTCTCTCTCTCTCTCTCTGCAGAGCCTCGCCACCTGGGAGACAGAGAACAAGATGGTCTGTAAGCAGACTCTGGTGGACGGCAACGGCCCCAAAACCTACTGGACCCGAGAGCTGAGCGGCGATGAGCTCATACTGGTGAGCGCACGGAAATGACTCATCTTCTCGATGAAAGATTGATGCTGAGGAAAGGGAAAAAAAGACAAAAGCATCAGTAGATAAATTAAATCTTGTTTCAGGGTGAGGACCAACAAAGAGTAGGCCAAAAAGTATTAAAGTGCTTGCCCCATGATGTTATTTTAAAGGTCCCCTATTGTGCAAAATGCACTTTTTGATGTCTTGTATACATAAATATGTGTCCTGCATGAGCTATGGACCCAGAATCAGCACTTCTCTAACAGGGCTGAAATAGAGGGGTATGAGGCATGGCTATGGGTGATCTGTTTGGTATTTTGAGCGAAACACTTCAGAGACATGTTTTTTTATATATCTGAGACCTATAATATATGCCTAAAAATAGTATAATAGGAGACCTTTAAGCACAAGGAGTCTAATATCTGATGGGTAGCTAATCTGTATGGTTTGTCTGTTACATGGCTTGTTCTCATGGAGACCCTAAAGACATCAGTTGCATTAAAATGGGATTTCACGAGCAGCTAGTGTACTTGAAATGTTTTAATGAAACGAGGCAGGGAGTCACCAAGGAGATTCATCCGTAAGGGAAATGAGAGGGCCCGTTTCCCAAGGAGCCGAGCTTTCATCCACCCCGCAGAGAGATGTTGAAAGGAGAACAAGAGGGAGCTGCTACGCTGACATCGCAGTAATACCCCCAGTATTTAGCCAGATTAATATAGGCACAAGTCAATGGGTCTAAAGCCCCTCGAACGAAGTGCAAGGGAGCCGTCCAAGTGAGGAAGAGTTCTCAGGGACTCAACAGCTTTTTCTCTCTCAGCGCTCCCACGCTTTGCTCTGTTGTTCCTCGAGTACTTGTGAGATGAATGTCCAAAAGGCAAGAGCTCTTAACAACAATACAGAAGGTGTAGCTACTGAAGAAGTAAACACAGGATGTTTGCAAAGCTTTATAATACAAGCCAGAAGCTCAAGCAGCTTGAGTTGTATATTCAATGCTAATCTCAATGCTAACCAGAGGTGGGAAGTAGTGGAGTACAAATACTTCGTTATTGTACTTAAGTACATTTTTCTGGTATCAGTACTTTACTCCACTACTTATTTTCTGACGACTTTTTACTTCTACTTCTTACATTTTCCAAACAGGCTGGTTCCTTTAGTTTGAATGTGTGTTTGGTGGCGTGATCATTATTATTTAGAGTCATTGCGTGCCTATTGATTTGAACACGATCCGTGTATCCATCATTTCCTGGTCTTCTCTAAAGAAGAGGGACCAATGAAAACGTTGTCATGTTGCCGTTGTTCAGCATGGAAACATTCATTAGCTAACAATGACATTATTGTTCTATTAATATAAAGGGAGGTCAGGTACTCTTTAAAACAGCTGCTAGTTATGGGTACTTTTTACTTAAAGTGGACCTATCATGCTATATTTGAATAATATAGTGTAGGACCATACCTATATAAGGCATATTTATACTTTTTTTTTTTCAAAATACCAAACAGATCATGCATTTTAGCCATGCCTCATTTCGCTCAATTTGAATTTTTTTAGCTCTGTTTTTGCAAGGGCTGATTCTGTGAGAACAGCACCACCTACAGGCCTGGCATATGTACTACAGTGTCTCCAGCGCTTTCGAACGGCAATGGCCGTGGCTGTCTCCTCCTGATTGGTGGAGTTGGCCCAATAGCCGTAGCGCCACTGTCCTGACGTCAGGACAGTGTTCAAATCTGGATCAGTTTTTATCAGATCCGTTGCAGCCCCTTTTTTAGAGATTTGGGTATGGAGGAAAATGGAGAGGGTTGTGTTTTCTGACACTTGGTGAGTTCCCTGGAACACCGGGGACACATATTCATGTATTCAAGACGTACAAAAGTGCATTTTGCACGATAGGTCCCCTTTAAGTACATTTCGAAGCACATAACTCTTTACTTTTACTTGAGTAAAGAAGTGTAGTCAGTACTTCTACTTTTACCAGAGTATTTTTAAACACGAGTATCTGTACTTCTACTTGAGTAAAGGGTGTGTGTACTTTTGCCATCTCTGATGCTAACCCACTTGAAGATCATTGTTGTTTGGAGAAAGGCAGAACAGATTCTAGTGTTGGCGTGATAAAATGTGTCACAGCGCCTGCCTCTCTGGTGACAGTCTGCCCTGGAGCAGCTGATGCATGCAGGCACTAATGGAGATTGATCTGTGTTTCTCTGCTCTTCTCACCTCTGTCCTCCCTGCTGTTACACCGCCGGAACAACCCCAGGATAGATCGTGTTGACAGAGCAGCTTGTAGAGTCCCAATTTGACATTTTTCCTTTTTAGTATTAGCACTGAAAAGCCCGTTATAAGATAGGTAATTGGTTTTGCAGCTTGTATTTGTTGTCCTGTCAACACTAACAAGTACATCTTCATCGTCATGATTCACCTGAGACAGATGGCCTAGTTTAGGACAGCAGCTTGATCCTGTCCTTTCAAGCATGATGGACAGTAAGAAAGGAAAAGGATATAACTGTTAACTTAATAACAAAGTAACTGATGAACAAGTCATTATTGTAAAGCATGAATGGTGAGTAGGGGGAAGCAGCAATAATGTGAAGACCTTACTCTTGTCTTTATATTTTAAATGACAGTTATTCTGTTATGCCTGACATAAAAGATGCAACATATCAAGGTAGAAATATGGACATGATAAAAGCATTATTTTTAAATTAACATTAATGCCTGCAGTGTGAACATTGCTTGGCACAGTTTCAAACAGATAAAGACAAAAGGACCAAAGATGTGCTTTAAATAGCTTCTCAAATACACCCTCTAGGTGTGGAAGAATGTCTAGTCTTAGAAATAGTCAACATTAGTCAACACATGTTATATTTGTACTTTAAGTATGAAAAGGATGCCTCCAGAAGCAGAACATCCCCCAAATCCTTTGAGGATTAAAGTATAAATATTGGCACGGAGCAGAACAACTTGATTTTTACAAGACATGTATTGAAGCCCAAAATAGTCTGCACCTTGCTGTGAGCGCTTTCTTAAAATGAGAAAATGAAATGAAATATTTTTTGTAGAAGATATACTTAGCTCTTGAAGTATTTAGAAGCAGAGTTGTCCTTGAAAGTGCTTTTAGCACCAGGAAAATTGCTACATAAATAACATGTATTATTATTATTATTATTATTGCATAATAAGTGCAACATGTACACTTTTTTGTTAATATTTGACTGCTATTTGAAGTATTAGCCTATTGTAAAAAAATATGAAACCTCAGTAACTACTCTGCAAGATATTCAAACTAACCAATTAACCAAATATCTCGACATCAGTTAGAAAACAACATCACAGCGTAGCATAAATAAACCTGCTCGTAAAATTATTGGAGCAAAAACTGCAAAACACACAAAATCTTTTCAAATGCTTTGGACTGTGACAGAGAAATAAATACTGTATCATTAAACTCCTGAGGGATGTTAAGCCTCTTCATAAAAAAGCGGGCATGAATCATATTTGGAACCAGACAACCTATTTCTCTTGGGACAAACAACTAGAAAACCCAAAACAAACACTGTCTGCATCTGAATCATATCTGTTTCCATAAAGCCTCCAGACAAAGAGACAAAACCAACAATTGCAGAGCTTCAGCCTCAAAGGAGGACTAGCGATCATAAAGCAACGGTCTGATTGTCTGTGGCAGTTCACACTGTAAGTGGGGCACATTTCCATACGATTTGCATGATCCGTTTAATTGGTTTAGTCTGAAAACACTTTAAAGGGCAAAGTCGTGTGGATTTTCTCCGGCTTCATCAGCCTGAAATAAAACGAAAAGATGACGGCACATCAGACGATTGTACTCAGTCATTTAAAGCTTGGTATTGTGGATCTTAAGGGACGCATGATTACGTTATGAAGCAGTTTCTTCTGGTTTCATCATCAACAGTTTGCAGTATGACCTACATTGATGGCCATCCTTTTGACTGTGATGCTATTACACACACATCATAGGATTTCTTTGACATGTTTACATGCCTCATCCTGTGAAAACCATAGACTTCTTTAAAAAGGTGTTTAGAGGGAATTATAAAAGCGCTTAGACTTGTAGGGTCCAGTGTGCTTCAAAAAATCTAGTCTAAATGACATCTAATGGATTGAACGGCCACATACACACCGTCTCGTCTTGCATTTCTTTGAAGCCTTAGCATTATAATTAGTACAATTGAGGACATGGTTTACACACTTTGACAATCTGTACTCAAAGGCATCCATTGCGATTGTTGTAAATGTGTATGTCGGATTATTGGCTCTAGTAGCACAATTTTAGTCCAAAATCAGTCCTCAACCTGTGCTCTTGAAACCTGATACTGGGGGTTTATGTTTGTATGTGTCTGTTACCAGTGAGACAATTCAGGAAGAACAGTTTGAGTAACAGATCTGTCAATTTGGAGGAATTTCAGATACCAACAGGTAGCAACCCTGTGAAGATAACTCTGGGGCAATTGTCTCATGTTTATTTTCTACAATCTTGAGGTACGTTAAAAAAAGTAATTCACCAAGTGCACTTTGGCAAAAATGTAACGCCTGGTTCAAATAAATTATTTGGCCAAAACAGACTGGCTTCAAACCACTACAAAATTAAGATGCACGCAACAAGTACTTGGAGCATGTTAAGGCCTCTGAGACTGACTACAGGTGTTTGTTGAAGATCTCAAACAGCTTGAAGCTAATGAAGCTAATTTAACATTTTCTTTGCCAGCTGGCTGTAATGGCTACTCACTATCATTTATCTAAAATCTACGATTATCTTTTTGTTTCCTGCAGACTTTCGGGGCAGACGATGTAGTTTGCACAAGGATTTATGCCCGGGAATGAAGCTCTGCAACTTCATCAGGCGACGAGAGAGAGACCCGGTTGGACCACAACGCCTCGACTAAACCCAACAACACTCTGTCATGCTAACATGCTAACACATTCGCAACGTATCCTGTGTAATCTCTCAGCATCAGTCTGCATAGTCTCCAAAAACAATAGCAATGTGTCTGGTTATTAATAGTGAGTATTGTGTCTGCAGTAGCAGTGTCCATATCTGCAACCCTGGTGTCGGCTGTGTGTGTAGGCTTTAGTCATGAGATGCCTTCATTAAGTATTCATGTTCAATGACAGGAAACAATAAAAAAAGGAACGAACAGCAGCAGAGCTTCTTTCTTGAAAACATGTATTCCTATTAATGTGCATGACATTGAAGTGCACATCAATCATGCTTAATAAATGCATGAACATTTCCTGGCAGATATTGTTTCCCTAGTTGTTAAGGCATTCAAATATTAGAGTATAAAGAGTAACTGTGTCCAATCTAATAGTCTGCCTTGATCTGCCTTGGTGGTGACAACATGCTATTTCTACATCCTGTACATCGGTAATGAAGCGTGTCATTAAAGTACCGGGTTCTCACCAGATCTCACCCGATAACACACAGCTGTGATGTTGGGTTGGTAAGAGGTTCAATAACTGGAGCAGCTATTGCTAGCTCCTTCCAAATTGTTTAAGTGATAAGAACAAATTGGCATAAGGTGTAAAATCCACTTACAAATACAAATCTTGTTATTTGATTGACAGCTACTTTTTTTTTCAACAAGAAAGTATTCATGCTTTGTGATAAACAACACAGAGAGTTTATCTGCAAACTGCTTAAAGTAGTAAAGATAGACATACAGTATTTATTCATTTAAATATCATCTGTTAATAGAGGACACAACTCAGTGGGTGGGGGGTGGGTGATCAACTCCTGCTTGGGATCAAAACTATCTTAGGCTAAATCGGGTCTTCACAAGTTTCCTGCTTTGGTGGTAATTTCTAGGCTGTAAGATACAATATGGAAAAGGTCATTTGGAAACCTTTTACAGACAGGTATGCTACTGAAATCTCAAAGACAATACTGGTGGTGCATGTTTTGGAGTATCCTGCACATCTCCCAGCTTCTACAGATCTCAGTGACACTTCTTAAAAACCCTAAACTGCCTCTTCAAACGAGCTTTAGCTTTCAAAACCCCACATCCCATCATGCTCCAACCTCACACTCCCTGCTGAAACTCGTCACTTTCTGTGATTTTTCCCAGACACTCCCAAGAGACACGTCTTTGTGTCTGATAGACTTCTGAGCCACAAGATGAAAGACAGAGTGGAACAGCGAGATAAGAAACAGACTGAAGAGAATACAGTTAAAGCTTCTGAGCAGTCGACTAATCACAGAGGCAGGCGACATTAAGAGCTTTCATTCTTCACGGTGAGTTTTAAATCCCAAAAGGCAAGAGGAGACGTTTGCGTGATGTATTTTAGAATTCAAACAGAAGTAAGAAATTAAGAAAGTTGTCCTCATGTGACTTCATCCCTGAGGGCCCTTCATGTGGAGGCAACTTTTATTGGAAGGAGCGGACACAGTAGTGTTGTGGTCACTTCCTCTCTCTGACCTCTTTCGCTTCACTGGTCTTTCCGACCCGATTGCCCAGCGGTCTGTGCTGCCCCTTGTTTCACCAACAAGGTGGTCAGTCAGAGACGAGGCTGCTGAATACAAAGTGCCGGGAACAGGAAGCCAGAGAAGCAGTGATGGGAGCAGAGTTTGTAAAATAAAAAATGAAAGGAAAAAATGCCATTACATCTAAAAATGGTTGGGAAGGTAAAGGATCATATAGAGCACATGTGTCAAACTCAAGGCCCGGGGGCCAAATCAGGCCCTTGGTGGATTTAATTTCGGCCGCAGGATAATTTCTAATTACTATTCGATCTGGCCCTCCGGTATATTGCACGCACACCTTCACTCAATCCTGAGGGTTTCCTCAGCTCAGAGCCTGACCCCAAACATTGATGAACTTGCACCCAAGATGAGATGCCAAGTATCTGGCTTGAACTAGCATCACAGAGCAGCACACTGAGTTTAATGGATGTTTCCTTCTGCACTTTTTTTCTTGCGACAACAGGGCATGTTTGGTTTTTTTCTTTGGGGGAAATAGTTTTTTTGAAGCTGTTGTTGGCCTGTGGAAAAATGTACTCATAATAAATGACTCCGGAAAAGCTGCAGATAGAGCCATAGCCTGATTATTTAAAGGTAGGGTAGGTAAGTTTGAGAAACCGGCTCAAGATACACTTTTTGTTATATTCCATGGAATGCTCTTAACATCCCGATAGCAATGAATATCTTAAGTTCTTTGACAAAAAATCCATAAAAAAATGTCATCTGTGGAAGCCGTAGTACTGTAAAAAGCACGACCAATCATTTTAGCCGGCCCGGCTAAAATAACTGGATGGCCTACCTGCCTGTCAGCCTTCCATCTGTGCACAAATTTATCTCGTTCCCTCATTGGTCATGTGTCGTGTGTGTTGGAGGAGGGGCTCTGTAAGGAAGTAGTAGATTTCTTCCGGTTGTATATTTTCAAATTCTAGCGCACTCGAGCTGGTTTCTCCAAAATTACCAACCCCACCTTTAATGTTTAATGTTGTTTTTATAGGCAATAATTTAAGCTTTGTTAGTTCCAGGTTTAATATGTGAAATACGTTCATTTCAATAAGTTTTGCAATAAACATTGAACCAGTCCGGCCCTCGACTAGTACCGATTTTTTAATTTTGGCCCACTGTGTATTTGAGTTTGACACCCCTGATATATATATAGAGGCAGAGTGATCTAAATGAATGGTTGGATGGGGATGAGTTACACACGTTTAAGTTTTGGTTTTATACAGTGCAATGTTAAAGGTAGGATAGGTAAGGGAGAAAACCAGCTCGAGTGCCTTGTGTTTACCTTGTGGTAAATGCTTGTATGCTGCTCATGCTCTTTCTGCATATCATGTATTTCTGTTTGCCATGTATATAAATGTTATGTTCATGAATGTTGTATGTGACGGGACTACGGATGGAAATTAGCTCAAAGCTCAAATCCGGCTCATTTACATTTCAAAGCATTATCTTGTTTAAAATGTTCATTAATGTGCATTGTCCCGGTTCAAATAAACGATTACATTTTTTTTTTTTTACTGTTTTGGTTCATGAGCCAGGCAGTGCAGTGCTACCATACCAATCTCTCAACTGGAAGACCATTGGGGATCGTATTCAAATCACTTCCCCCGGAGCAGGTGCACGATGCGTGTGATGCTCGGGGCCAACAGAGCCTCGCTGCAGTGAAACGTGTCGCAGCCTCGGTGGCGGTCAGAGGGCTTGGCTCGGACCTCAGTCTGGTCCTCGGGGTGGATATGGCGAGAAAGTGGCACAACATCAAAAACAAAAAGCAAATCTGTCTCTGTCCTCCACGGCTGCCAGGGATTAGAAGGTTTTCCTTTCAGCAAAACAGTGGAGCGGCGACTGTTCCCATTCCTCAACGCCAAGGCTGCTGGGTCGGGTCTATGCCGCCCCTGCTTTTTGACCTGGTATCCCCTGAAAGAATGAGTTTCCTCCTCAGTGCACCACAATGCACCGGGAAGCAAGGGCCAGGGCGCGCGCCTGCTGTGATGTTAATTTAATGACAAGCTGCTGTTCGGATGGCAGGTCCAAACAGCAGAATAAAGGCTTGTTGTGTTTATGCTCCATTTTGTCGAGAAGGGGCCCCTCTGCCTGTCTTACTGCTCTCTTCTGGGCACCAAACAGTGGAGCCTCTGTGACTACAGTGAAGCGCAGCGCTGCAAAAGACAAAAGTCGCCCTACTCGTCTCCACTTGGTGTCCCATTTGATCTCCTTCCTTGAGCTTGAGTGGGTTTTGGAGTTTGGGACGCGTCTCAAAAAGGCCAATTGAGTTTTCTATAAAATAAAACGTTAGACTCATTAGTGAATTCCAGTTTACAAAACAACCTTGGTCTTTATTTTCTTAGTTTTGGCCGCCATTCCTATTGGTAATAATAACATTTGTTTGCACCAAAGTTCCTTGATGACATGTGGGAACGGGGCAAAAACATGAAAAAGAGGTCAGATGCAGCGAAAAACACGAGAAACCTGTTGGTCAGACAAGTTTAAAAAAAACATCCAAGTTAACCAAATGAATTTGGAAGAGAAAATGAGGACGAAAAGTAAAATGACTACTTAAAATTGTCTTCACAGTTTACAGAAATATATAACTTTGAGACACCATACTTAGTTTAGCTGAGCTTACAGTCTTTCTATGCAATAAGAAATTATTATCGACATTTCTGCTCATACTAAGGCTCCAAAATTCAAATCGCAGAAAGCAAAATATCTGGAAAATGCAAAAAAGTGATCTGATTTAAAGGGGCCCTATTATGCTTTTTGGTGGTCATGTAAATGGTCTGCAAAGGTTAAAATCACAAAGTTCCTTCCAGAGGGAGTTTCTCTCCAACACACTCACCATACAACGTCATCTCATACCATAATGGTAAAACCAACTTTGTGTAGTCATGACGCTGCAGCTACAGTCCAGGCTTCAGAAATGTCAGAAAAATGCTAATAAGTGAACCTGTATTTGACCCTGGGCAGATGGTGCTGACTAACCCTCCACTCGGGTGTAGAAGGTGTAACAAGCAGCACATTAACGTACATGTATTGGCTATGAACACCAAGGGAGGATGGAAAAGGTCAAGTTCAGCCAAGTGTGTGTTAAATTACCCAGCATGCTTTGAGCCTCTGACGTCCCCGATGACTTTCTTCTTGTGATATATTTAGTCACGCTTAGGTCTCGATAAATGGCTTCCTCATGAGGGCACATGCACATATTCAGAGCTCTGCACACATGTCGGCTAAGAGGAGAAAAATACAGGACAAATATTATAATTATGAGAGAAAAAAATATTTAACATTTAAGGCTTTTAATATAAAACACATGATTTTGATCTTCATCTCAGTCAGTTGGGCAGAGCCACAGTAAAACAGCTATGTCAATAAATCTAAACATCAGTCACTGGTTAGTTTTTCTAATGTGATTCAGAACACATGCTTATTGGATTATAATTGTATCATGTGAGAACAGTTGGAAAACTCAAACTTTGAATGCTAATGCGGACGTCCATTAGAGTGTGAGGGATATTAACACCAACAGATTGTGTCATACTTTCTCATATATTTTCATGTACTTTAATGACACTAAGGCATTGCTGTTGGCTTAACAATACAAGAACAAGAAAAAAAAGTCTATTGACATGCTGCTGTTTTTGTTAGGCTGCATTCAGCAAGGTGCAATGTCTATCATGTTAGCAAGT